TGGAGTCTGCCTCCATCACCAGTGTATAGAGTCTGCCTCCACCACCAGTGTATGGAGTCTGCCTCCACCACTCCACCACCAGTGTATGGAGTCTGCCTCCACCACCAGTGTATGGAGTCTGCCTCCACCACTCCACCACCAGTGTATGGAGTCTGCCTCCACCACCAGTGTATCTTGAGGTTATCTTGAGATGATTTCAGGGCTTTTAGTGTCCCCGCGGCCCGGTCCTCGACCAGGCCTCCACCCCAGGAAGCAGCCCGTGACAGCTGACTAACACCCAGGTACCTATTTACTGCTAGGTAACAGGGGCATAGGGTGAAAGAAACTCTGCCCAATGTTTCTCGCCGGCGCGTGGGATCGAACCCAGGACCACAGGATCACAAGTCCAGCGTGCTGTCCGCTCGGCCGACCGGCTCCCATAAAAAGGAATGGTGTCCAGCCACTTGGACAGTCGGGGATTGAACGTCGACCTGCATGAAGCGAGACCGGCGCTCTACCGTCCAGTCCAAGCATACTTTTTGTATGGAGTCTGCCTCCACCACTCCACCACCAGTGTATGGAGTCTGCCTCCACCACTCCACCACCAGTGTATGGAGTCTGCCTCCACCACTCCACCACCAGTGTATGGAGTCTGCCTCCATCACCAGTGTATGGAGTCTGCCTCCACCACCAGTGTATGGAGTCTGCCTCCATCACCAGTGTATGGAGTCTGCCTCCACCACCAGTGTATGGAGTCTGCCTCCACCACTCCACCACCAGTGTATGGAGTCTGCCTCCACCACCAGTGTATGGAGTCTGCCTCCACCACCAGTGTATGGAGTCTGCCTCCACCACCAGTGTATGGAGTCTGCCTCCACCACCAGTGTATGGAGTCTGCCTCCACCACCAGTGTATGGAGTCTGCCTCCACCACCAGTGTATGGAGTCTGCCTCCACCACCAGTGTATGGAGTCTGCCTCCACCACCAGTGTATGGAGTCTGCCTCCACCACCAGTGTATGGAGTCTGCCTCCACCACCAGTGTATGGAGTCTGCCTCCACCACCAGTGTATGGAGTCTGCCTCCACCACTCCACCACCAGTGTATGGAGTCTGCCTCCACCACCAGTGTATGGAGTCTGCCTCCACTACTCCACCACCAGTGTATGGAGTCTGCCTCCACTACTCCACCACCAGTGTATGGAGTCTGCCTCCACTACTCCACCACCAGTGTATGGAGTCTGCCTCCACCACCAGTGTATGGAGTCTGCCTCCACCACTCCACCACCAGTGTATAGAGTCTGCCTCCACTACTCCACCACCAGTGTATGGAGTCTGCCTCCACTACTCCACCACCAGTGTATGGAGTCTGCCTCCACTACTCCACCACCAGTGTATGGAGTCTGCCTCCACTACTCCACCACCAGTGTATGGAGTCTGCCTCCACTACTCCACCACCAGTGTATGGAGTCTGCCTCCACCACCAGTGTATGGAGTCTGCCTCCACCACCAGTGTATGGAGTCTGCCTCCACCACCAGTGTATGGAGTCTGCCTCCACCACTCCACCACCAGTGTATGGAGTCTGCCTCCACCATCAGTGTATGGAGTCTGCCTCCACCACCAGTGTATGGAGTCTGCTTCCACCACTCCACCACCTGTGTATGGAGTCTGCCTCCACTACTCCACCACCAGTGTATGGAGTCTGCCTCCACCACCAGTGTATGGAGTCTGCCTCCACCACTCCACCACCAGTGTATGGAGTCTGCCTCCACCACTCCACCACCAGTGTATGGAGTCTGCCTCCACCACCAGTGTATGGAGTCTGCCTCCACCACCAGTGTATGGAGTCTGCCTCCACCACCAGTGTATGGAGTCTGCCTCCACCACCAGTGTATGGAGTCTGCCTCCACTACTCCACCACCTGTGTATGGAGTCTGCCTCTACTACTCCACCACCAGTGTATAGAGTCTGCCTCCACCACCAGTGTATGGAGTCTGCCTCCACTACTCCACCACCTGTGTATGGAGTCTGCCTCCACTACTCCACCACCAGTGTATAGAGTCTGCCTCCACCACCAGTGTATGGAGTCTGCCTCCACTACTCCACCACCAGTGTATGGAGTCTGCCTCCACTACTCCACCACCAGTGTATGGAGTCTGCCTCCACTACTCCACCACCTGTGTATGGAGTCTGCCTCCACCACCAGTGTATGGAGTCTGCCTCCACTACTCCACCACCTGTGTATGGAGTCTGCCTCCACCACCAGTGTATGGAGTCTGCCTCCACTACTCCACCACCAGTGTATGGAGTCTACCTCCACCACCAGTGTATGGAGTCTGCCTCCAACACCAGTGTATGGAGTCTGCCTCCACCACTCCACCACCAGTGTATGGAGTCTGCCTCCACCACCTGTGTATGGAGTCTGCCTCCACCACCAGTGTATGGAGTACCTGAGGTACTCTGCTCTTTATTCTATGTCAGTCAGAGTAAAAAGTCCCTCATTGTGACACCCTGACTCCTGTCTGTTGGGTACTCTTACCCACGCTAGTGTTCCTCCACTCCCGCCTGTCTCTCAACCTTGTGTAGTTATCTTAGTATGCAACTGTGCCAAAGCTTTTTTGGCAATCCAAAAATACTCAATAGTTCAGATATTCTGTTTTTCTTGCCTTATTTTCGTTATCTTAGCACAGGACTTGTGGAGGTTCCTTAGCAATGGTTTTCCTTCCCTCACGTCATGATTGTTCACATACCTGATGCTCTCTAAGTGCTCAGTTAATGTTATCATTATTATTCTTTAGCGTACCTTGTATAGAAAGGTTATCGGTGATCCTGGTCTGTAGTGAAGTGACCTTTTCCATCTTGGTGTCACAGTTGCCCTCGTCCTGCATGTTACAACTGATATGAGTGGGGCTTCTATGGGGTACTGGTACTATTAAGGGGTATAGGTAGTTAGAAGACAGGAGTATCAAATATGGGAGAGCTAAAAGGCCCGGCCCCCAAAATAAACTATCCACAGTAGTAATAACTTGCTACAAGACCAAATATGTTCGTCTAAGGGTTGATCACTGCGCTCCCACCTTGGAAGAAGAGATACTCTGTAATTCATGTACTTATTTATTAACCCGTTAACAACCCCCCATATACACTCACACCAATAACAATAATAATAATAACTTTACCACACTATCTTACGTTAAAAGCCTTGGTCCACGTAGGCAGGATACAAGGTTTACACTAATAACAAGCTAGGGTAAAGTACTACTGGATAAGCACTGAAGCTGGATGCAGCTTAGGGTAGTGAAACCACGTGGGACCCTAATACAAAACACAACACTTAGGGGTACCCAAACACTGGCAAAATACTATCCCCAGGTCTCCCCAATCGTTACTACCAGAGTAGGCACACTTACACCATATAATACTTAACTTAAGGGTACAGGAACTTCAGGTAAGGGAAATAAGTAAGAGGAGAAGGAAGGAGAGTAGGGATACAGCCACAGAGTAGGTCTTAACCTCACGCCACCAGCCAAGAGAAGACCGAGCTAGCCACCAGCTGCCTCCCTCATGTTGTGGTGCCGGGAGGAGCCTAATTGATCGTGCAGCTAAGCACATTAAAGATCTTCCCCTATGTAACGTATTGTTACTTTATGAATGATTAGAAAGTATTAGTAAGCAAAGTTGGTGCCTATGTTATTATTTAATAATCAACCCCCAGCTCAGTCTTTAAATGCTCTTTGAGAAACAATAATAGTCTTACGTCTGGCAGGGAAGATACAAACAATTGACATTCTAGATGCCCAACTGTACTACCAGAAAGTTTAATAGCTCAATTTTGACCTCTGGTTTCCACTGGAGAACCCAGGGTCGTAACACTGCAGCTTGGCAACTCTCATTTACAATTAAATCACTAAATATCATAACTATAAATATACTGAGAGCCTCTGCAGCTCTTTTAACATCTATGGTGATACAGAGGTCCAATAGAGTAAGTGTCATCTAGTAACGCTAGTTCTCTCGTTACCTCTACTCTTATTTTATTATGTGTCGGTCTCTCATCTAGGGGATCCCTCTTGTGTTATTACTGGGAGCTGGTCGGCCGAGCGGACAGCACGCTGGACTTGTGATCCTGTGGTCCTGGGTTCGATCCCAGGCGCCGGCGAGAAACAATGGGCAGAGTTTCTTTCACCCTATGCCCCTGTTACCTAGCAGTAAAATAGGTACCTGGGTGTTAGTCAGCTGTCACGGGCTGCTCCTGGGGGTGGAGGCCTGGTCGAGGACCGGGCCGCGGGGACACTAAAAAACCCCCCGAAATTATCTGAAAATTATCTGAAGATAACATCTGGCTCAGCCTCTCAACACTCAGTAGAAACTGCACTGAGTTCCACACAGATTTCTTTGTCATCTCTGGGGTGTTCTCCCCTTTAGCGTAATCCAGCCCCCTTGGTTAATTATTGTCATAAAAAGCCTCAGAATATAAAACTCCAAGAATTGTGGAGCACTGCAATAAGCTTGTTGACCCCATACAAAGCAGATCCCACCTATTGTCACCCGTGTACCTGTTATATCATACATAGCTATGTATAGTAGCTTCTGTTGTGTTCTCACATGTGTATGTATCATAAATGATGTTTATGTATACTGGCTCCAGGTCCAGGCGCCCCCTGGTAGCAGTTATAGGCCTTTCATCACCTCTACATCCTCCACTTGACAGATCCTGGCGGCGCTGGGCCTAGCAGGGGCGGCGCTGGGCCTAGTGGGACCGGCGCTGGGCCGCCCTGACACACCTACCGCGGGATATGGCTACCGCGCTCTCACCTACACCCCACCTCTTGCCTCCACCTACACCCCTCCCATCTACACACCGAAGGAACCGATGTACATGGACCCAGAACCAACATACAAGATGCTTGAACAAGTATACAGGGCCCCTGAACAAGTATACAGGGCGCCTGAACAAGTTTACAAGGCACCTGAACAAGTATACATGGCCCCTGAACAAGTATACAAGGCCCCTGAACAAGTATACAAGGCACCTGAACAAGTATACATGGCCCCTGAACAAGTATACAAGGCCCCTGAACAAGTATACAAGGCACCACAACAAGTATACAAGGCCCCTGAACAAGTATACAAGGCCCCTGAACAAGTATACAAGGCCCCTGAACAAGTATACAAGGCCCCTGAACAAGTATACAAGGCCCTGAACAAGTATACAAGGCCCCTGAACAAGTATACAAGGCACCACAACAAGTATACAAGGCACCACAACAAGTATACAAGGCTCCTGAACAAGTATACAAGGCCCCTGAACAAGTATACAAGGCACCACAACAGGTATACAAGGCCCCTGAACAAGTATACAAGGCCCCTGAACAAGTATACATGTCCCCTGAACAAGTATACAAGGCCCCTGAACAAGTATACAAGGCACCACAACAAGTATACAAGGCCCCTGAACAAGTATACAAGGCCCCTGAACAAGTATACAAGGCCCCTGAACAAGTATACAAGGCCCCTGAACAAGTATACAAGGCCCCTGAACAAGTTTACAAGGCACCTGAACAAGTATACATGGCCCCTGAACAAGTATACAAGGCCCCTGAACAAGTATACAAGGCCCCTGAACAAGTATACAAGGCTCCTGAACAAGTATACAAGGCACCACAACAAGTATACAAAGCTCCTGAACAAGTATACAAGGCTCCTGAACAAGTATACAAGGCACCACAACAAGTATACAAGGCTCCTGAACAAGTATACAAGGCTCCTGAACAAGTATACAAGGCCCCTGAACAAGTATACAAGGCCCCTGAACAAGTATACAAGGCCCCTCAACAAGTATACAAGGCCCCAGAACCAACATACAAGGCCCCAGAACCAACATACAAGGCCCCAGAACCAACATACAAGGCTCCAGAACCAACATACAAGGCCCCAGAACCAACATACAAGGCCCCAGAACCAACATACAAGGCCCCAGAACCAACATACAAGGCCCCAGAATCAACATACAAGGCCCCAGAACCAACATACAAGGCCCCAGAACCAACATACAAGGCCCCAGAATCAACATACAAGGCCCCAGAACCAACATACAAGGCCCCAGAACCAACATACAAGGCCCCAGAACCAACATACAAGGCCCCAGAACCAACATACAAGGCTCCAGAACCAACATACAAGGCCCCAGAACCAACATACAAGGTTCCAGAACCAACATACAAGGCCCCAGAACCAACATACAAGGCCCCAGAACCAACATACAAGGTCCCAGAACCAACATACAAGGCCCCAGAACCAACATACAAGGCCCCAGAACCAACATACAAGGCTCCAGAACCAACATACAAGGCTCCAGAACCAACATACAAGGCTCCAGAACCAACATACAAGGCCCCAGAACCAACATACAAGGTCCCAGAACCAACATACAAGGCCCCAGAACCAACATACAAGGTCCCAGAACCAACATACAAGGCTCCAGAACCAACATACAAGGCTCCAGAACCAACATACAAGGCTCCAGAACCAACATACAAGGCCCCAGAACCAACATACAAGGCCCCAGAACCAACATACAAGGCTCCAGAACCAACATACAAGGCTCCAGAACCAACATACAAGGCCCCAGAACCAACATACAAGGTCCCAGAACCAACATACAAGGCTCCAGAACCAACATACAAGGCTCCAGAACCAACATACAAGGCTCCAGAACCAACATACAAGGCCCCAGAACCAACATACAAGGCCCCAGAACCAACATACAAGGCCCCAGAACCAACATACAAGGCTCCAGAACCAACATACAAGGCTCCAGAACCAACATACAAGGCTCCAGAACCAACATACAAGGCCCCAGAACCAACATATTCCGCTCCGTCATACGAGGTAAGAACCAGGTGATGTATGTGATATCAAACATCGAAATTTGCCCTTTACTGTAAATTCATAACTTTCTGTAACTTCATCAGTTTATCCTTCCGCGACTTCACATCCTCCTGAGTCTTTACCATCTATGATTTTTACCACTTTCACCAATGAACTGAAAACCAAATTTATATATATTTTGCTCTGCACTTTCATCCATTCAGCCTTATTGTTTGTTTTTCTAGAGAATGTAAGTTTAACTTGACATTTTTCCTTTATGAAGAAGGCTTCTAATTCCTGATATTAACTTTCTCACCATTCTCTATATGATTTCTAGTTCGTTTATGTCCATTCTATATTACAGAGACCAAGACTAAAGTGCATACCCTCGTAGTTAACATGACCATGCCTCCACAGTATCAAAATTATATATTGCTGGATAATCCATTATTTTTGGTTTCAGAAGAAAATGCCGTTCGGGTTCGCATATGGCGTCGAGGACCCGTACAGCGGCAACATGTTCACCCACAACGCCAACTCCGACGGTAATGTTGTGACCGGTGAGTACCGAGTCGTTCTGCCCGATGGTCGTACTCAGGTCGTCTCCTACACGGCCGATGACTACAATGGCTACGTGGCCGATGTCCAGTATCAGGGAGAAGCCCAGTACCCGGAGCCCAAGCCCTACCAGCCTGCCCCAGCCTACGACAAGCCTGCCTCAGCCTACGGCGCTCCCCCCACAACTTATGAAACTCCCGCTCGAAGCTTCGACAACCCTTCCCCTGCTTATAGTGTCCCCATCCAGCACAATGGTGCAACTGGCCAGAGCTTCCATGTTCCAGCACCGACTTACGATGTCCCAGCTGTGACCTATGACATTCCTGATCAGGTCTACGATGTCCCAGCCAGGATCCCGGGACCACCATCTTCCTTGTACACAACGCCCACCAGCTAATCCAAGTCCCATCACCCGAATGATACACAGCTACGACACGTATATGTATATGTATATGAATACAGTGCTTATGTATACACTCTGAATAACGAACATATTTATTACATGTATAAAATAAAATTATATTGCTCAGAACTTGTCAACTGGACCAACCTGATCTGTCTATATTGTGTGGCTGTGTTGACCTCTAGTACCTGCAGGTGTGTGGCTGTGTTGACCTCTAGTACCTGCAGGTGTGTGGCTGTGTTGGACACAAGTACCTGCAGGTGTGTGGCTGTGTTGACCTCCAGCACCTACAGGTGTGTGGCTGTGTTGACCTCTAGTACCTACAGGTGTGTGGCTGTGTTGACCTCCAGTACCTGCAGGTGTGTGACTGTGTTGACCTCCAGTACCTGCAGGTGTGTGACTGTGTTGACCTCTAGTACCTGCAGGTGTGTGGCTGTGTTGACCTCTAGTACCTGCAGGTGTGTGGCTGTGTTGACCTCCAGTACCTGCAGGTGTGTGGCTGTGTTGACCTCCAGTACCTGCAGGTGTGTGGCTGGGTGTTGACCTCTAGTACCTACAGGTGTGTGGCTGTGTTGACCTCCAGTACCTGCAGGTGTGTGGCTGTGTTGACCTCTAGTACCTGCAGGTGTGTGGCTGTGTTGACCTCTAGTACCTGCAGGTGTGTGGCTGTGTTGACCTCTAGTACCTGCAGGTGTGTGGCTGTGTTGACCTCCAGCACCTACAGGTGTGTGGCTGTGTTGACCTCTAGTACCTACAGGTGTGTGGCTGTGTTGACCTCCAGTACCTGCAGGTGTGTGACTGTGTTGACCTCCAGTACCTGCAGGTGTGTGACTGTGTTGACCTCCAGTACCTGCAGGTGTGTGACTGTGTTGACCTCTAGTACCTGCAGGTGTGTGACTGTGTTGACCTCCAGTACCTGCAGGTGTGTGACTGTGTTGACCTCCAGTACCTGCAGGTGTGTGACTGTGTTGACCTCCAGTACCTGCAGGTGTGTGACTGTGTTGACCTCCAGTACCTGCAGGTGTGTGACTGTGTTGACCTCCAGTACCTGCAGGTGTGTGACTGTGTTGACCTCTAGTACCTGCAGGTGTGTGACTGTGTTGACCTCCAGTACCTGCAGGTGTGTGACTGTGTTGACCTCCAGTACCTGCAGGTGTGTGGCTGTGTTGACCTCCAGTACCTGCAGGTGTGTGACTGTGTTGACCTCTAGTACCTGCAGGTGTGTGACTGTGTTGACCTCCAGTACCTGCAGGTGTGTGACTGTGTTGACCTCCAGTACCTGCAGGTGTGTCTGTGTTGACCTCCAGTACCTGCAGGTGTGTGACTGTGTTGACCTCCAGTACCTGCAGGTGTGTGACTGTGTTGACCTCCAGTACCTGCAGGTGTGTGGCTGTGTTGACCTCTAGTACCTGCAGGTGTGTGACTGTGTTGACCTCTAGTACCTGCAGGTGTGTGACTGTGTTGACCTCTAGTACCTGCAGGTGTGTGGCTGTGTTGAACTCTAGTACCTGCAGGTGTGTGACTGTGTTGACCTCTAGTACCTGCAGGTGTGTGACTGTGTTGACCTCTAGTACCTGCAGGTGTGTGGCTGTGTTGACCTCTAGTACCTGCAGGTGTGTGACTGTGTTGACCTCTAGTACCTGCAGGTGTGTGGCTGTGTTGACCTCTAGTACCTGCAGGTGTGTGACTGTGTTGACCTCTAGTACCTGCAGGTGTGTGACTGTGTTGACCTCTAGTACCTGCAGGTGTGTGGCTGTGTTGACCTCTAGTACCTGCAGGTGTGTGACTGTGTTGACCTCTAGTACCTGCAGGTGTGTGGCTGTGTTGACCTCTAGTACCTGCAGGTGTGTGACTGTGTTGACCTCTAGTACCTGCAGGTGTGTGACTGTGTTGACCTCTAGTACCTGCAGGTGTGTGACTGTGTTGACCTCTAGTACCTGCAGGTGTGTGGCTGTGTTGACCTCTAGTACCTGCAGGTGTGTGACTGTGTTGACCTCTAGTACCTGCAGGTGTGTGGCTGTGTTGACCTCTAGTACCTGCAGGTGTGTGACTGTGTTGACCTCTAGTACCTGCAGGTGTGTGACTGTGTTGACCTCTAGTACCTGCAGGTGTGTGGCTGTGTTGACCTCTAGTACCTGCAGGTGTGTGACTGTGTTGACCTCTAGTACCTGCAGGTGTGTGACTGTGTTGACCTCTAGTACCTGCAGGTGTGTGGCTGTGTTGACCTCTAGTACCTGCAGGTGTGTGACTGTGTTGACCTCCAGTACCTGCAGGTGTGTGACTGTGTTGACCTCCAGTACCTGCAGGTGTGTGACTGTGTTGACCTCCAGTACCTGCAGGTGTGTGACTGTGTTGACCTCTAGTACCTGCAGGTGTGTGACTGTGTTGACCTCCAGTACCTGCAGGTGTGTGACTGTGTTGACCTCCAGTACCTGCAGGTGTGTGACTGTGTTGACCTCCAGTACCTGCAGGTGTGTGACTGTGTTGACCTCCAGTACCTGCAGGTGTGTGGCTGTGTTGACCTCCAGTACCTGCAGGTGTGTGACTGTGTTGACCTCCAGTACCTGCAGGTGTGTGACTGTGTTGACCTCCAGTACCTGCAGGTGTGTGACTGTGTTGACCTCCAGTACCTGCAGGTGTGTGACTGTGTTGACCTCCAGTGCCTGCAGGTGTGTGACTGTGTTGACCTCCAGTACCTGCAGGTGTGTGACTGTGTTGACCTCCAGTACCTGCAGGTGTGTGACTGTGTTGACCTCCAGTACCTGCAGGTGTTATTACGTTGTAGTGAGTCGATGGATTGTCCCTTCCGGACAACCCACAAAACCCGTAGTGTGCTTATACTCTGGTCAGATCACCCTGTACGCTTCCTGTTCTTGGAGAGGGGATCAATGTCACACATTCAGGGGGTGCGGCTCCAACACTGACCTCGTTGTCACGTGTACACACCCAATTCGAGCCGCTGTGACTCCCCACTCTCTTCTTATTTGGTATGACCTCAGTCCCCCTTTATTTCGAGTTGTAACTCTGTACCACCCTGTCCACAGCTATGGTGCGTTCTCCCTCTTTTCTACTTTCTGGGAAGCCACACTAGGACAAGGGCAAACACCTGCTCGTTATGAATATTTAATATACAGAGACATATACAACACACACAGAATACAATAATGACTCCAACACTCTATGCTATTATAATCAGGTTGCATCCAATCCCATCAGGACTCTATCAGCTGCTTATATCAAGTGGTAGCCCAACTCCTGGCTTGCCACTTATGCTACCAACCTCACCAAGTGGGTTAAATCTTGCAATACAATAAGGCACCATCAGCCCTAGAACATATATAAATATACACAAGGAAATCCAGCCTATGGCTGTAACAGTATAAACATTCCTCGATACCAAAATTAGTCACTCACCTCCCACAGCATCATGCACGCCAATGACACTCAAACACTCCATCAACTCTCTGGAAGTAATGCTGCACTGTGAAGTTTTTCTTGGATGCCAGTGGTACCCCACCACTGATTCCACAGAAGCATGTGAATCTTCACTTCACTGCTCCTTTTCCCACAGTTTGAGGTCCAATTCCTCACTATGGGGCTTGCTCTTCCAGAGTACACTGCTCCTCCAACAGGCTTGGAGTTTCATCCACTAACTCCCTATACTGGGCTCGAGGTTCCCTCAGCAACTCCTCTAGACAAACCTGCAACCCATTGACATGCCAATATATGTTTCCATATAAACAAATAACTAAAATAAATTACACAGTAAATATCTTCATCCGATATTTCCCTGCTTCCCACATATTGTGAGAGGACTCCCCCACCCTCGGGCGGGTCCATTCTCCACCCAGCCGGACTCCTCGCTCTCGAGGCAGCTGGTGGCCGGCCCTCAGTTGCCTCCCTGAGCTCAGAGAGAGAGGGTGTGCCACTCCTCTCCCCAGTTGGTTCTCCTCAACTTAATTTTCTTATTTAGGCTTTCTGCCCTATCAAAACATGCCTAACATATCAATAAACACTTGCTACAGCCGCTGGGTACACGACCAACTACTGGCAATCACTGTTAACTGGTTAAAATGGGTTTACCTCAGAATTTGACTCGCTCGCTGGCGCTCACTGGCCGGGCGGCGACACTCAGGGCACCTCAGGCTACCCACACAACTGCTTTAACTGCTCTACAACACCTTCTGCAGTTCACGACCTGAGCGGACACGTCTACAAACTTATTCCACTGTCAAAAAGTCTGTCCACTTCCTTCTTCTTGAAGATATATCACTCAGGGGTTCTTCCTCACCGGGGGCTCAAACGGAGCACACCCTCCCCTCACGATTTCTTCAGCTTAAGTGAGGTCAACGTCCTCACAAGCGAGCCTCACACCTCCAGCAAATTCTCCACATCTCATGTCAAATCATTTACTTATATCCTTGTTCACTGTCCATACTTTTAAACTATTTATCTAATTTAATCGAGTGTCTATTATATATATTTCTGGGTTTATCCCTTTGACCTCTTAGTTAGGTCAGGTCTGATAGAATAACTCTCAAAGGGAGACTCGTTTCTCCTGCAGCCTGAGATCATAACAGTGTGTGGCTGTGTTGACCTCCAGTACCTGCAGGTGTGGCTGTGTTGGCCTCCAGTACCTGCAGGTGTGGCTGTGTTGGCCTCCAGTACCTGCGGGTGTGTGGCTGTGTTGACCTCCAGTACCTGCGGGTGTGTGGCTGTGTTGACCTCCAGTACCTGCAGGTGTATGGCTGTGTTGACCTCCAGTACCTGCAGGTGTGTGGCTGTGTTGACCTCCAGTACCTGCAGGTGTGTGGCTGTGTTGACCTCCAGTACCTGCAGGTGTGTGGCTGTGTTGACCTCCAGTACCTGCAGGTGTGTGGCTGTGTTGACCTCCAGTACCTGCAGGTGTGTGGCTGTGTTGACCTCCAGTACCTGCAGGTGTGTGGCTGTGTTGACCTCCAGTACCTGCAGGTGTGGCTGTATTGACCTCCAGTACCTGCAGGTATGTGGCTGTGTTGACCTCCAGTACCTGCAGGTGTGTGGCTGTGTTGACTTCCAGTACCTGCAGGTGTGTGGCTGTGTTGGCCTCCAGTACCTGCAGGTGTGTGGCTGTGTTGACCTCCAGTACCTGCAGGTGTGTGGCTGTGTTGACCTCCAGTACCTGCAGGTGTGTGGCTGTGTTGACCTCCAGTACCTGCAGGTGTGTGGCTGTGTTGACCTCCAGTACCTGCAGGTGTGTGGCGGTGTTGACCTCCAGTACCTGCAGGTGTGTGGCTGTGTTGACCTCCAGTACCTGCAGGTGTGTGGCTGTGTTGACCTCCAGTACCTGCAGGTGTGTGGCTGTGTTGACCTCCAGTACCTGCAGGTGTGTGGCGGTGTTGACCTCCAGTACCTGCAGGTGTGTGGCTGTGTTGACCTCCAGTACCTGCAGGTGTGTGGCTGTGTTGGTCTCCAGTACCTGCAGGTGTGTGGCTGTGTTGACCTCCAGTACCTGCAGATGTGTGGCTGTGTTGACCTCCAGTACCTGCAGGTGTGTGGCTGTGTTGACCTCCAGTACCAGCAGGTGTGTGGCTGTGTTGACCTCCAGTACCTGCAGGTGTGTGGCTGTGTTGACCTCCAGTACCTGCAGGTGTGTGGCTGTGTTGACCTCCAGTATCTGCAGGTGTGCGGCTGTGTTGACCTCCAGTACCTGCAGGTGTGTGGCTGCGTTGGCCTCCAGTACCTGCAGGTGTGGCTGTGTTGACCTCCAGTACCTGCAGGTGTATGGCTGTGTTGACCTCCAGTACCTGCAGGTGTGTGGCTGTGTTGACCTCCAGTACCTGCAGGTGTGGTTGTGTTGACCGCCAGTACCTGCAGGTGTGGCTGTGTTGACCTCTAGTACCTGCAGATGTGTGGCTGTGTTGGCCTCCAGTATCTGCAGGTGTGGTTGTGTTGACTTTCAGTACCTGCAGGTGTGGCTGTGTTGACCTCCAGTACCTGCAGATGTGTGGCTGTGATGGACTCCAGTACCTGCAGGTGTGGTTGTGTTGACCTCCAGTACCTGCAGGTGTGTGGCTGTGTTGACCTCCAGTACCTGCAGGTGTGGCTGTATTGACCTCCAGTACCTGCAGGTATGTGGCTGTGTTGACCTCCAGTACCTGCAGGTGTGTGGCTGTGTTGACTTCCAGTACCTGCAGGTGTGTGGCTGTGTTGGCCTCCAGTACCTGCAGGTGTGTGGCTGTGTTGACCTCCAGTACCTGCAGGTGTGTGGCTGTGTTGACCTCCAGTACCTGCAGGTGTGTGGCTGTGTTGACCTCCAGTACCTGCAGGTGTGTGGCTGTGTTGACCTCCAGTACCTGCAGGTGTGTGGCGGTGTTGACCTCCAGTACCTGCAGGTGTGTGGCTGTGTTGACCTCCAGTACCTGCAGGTGTGTGGCTGTGTTGACCTCCAGTACCTGCAGGTGTGTGGCTGTGTTGACCTCCAGTACCTGCAGGTGTGTGGCGGTGTTGACCTCCAGTACCTGCAGGTGTGTGGCTGTGTTGACCTCCAGTACCTGCAGGTGTGTGGCTGTGTTGGTCTCCAGTACCTGCAGGTGTGTGGCTGTGTTGACCTCCAGTACCTGCAGATGTGTGGCTGTGTTGACCTCCAGTACCTGCAGGTGTGTGGCTGTGTTGACCTCCAGTACCTGCAGGTGTGTGGCTGTGTTGACCTCCAGTACCTGCAGGTGTGTGGCTGTGTTGACCTCCAGTACCTGCAGGTGTGTGGCTGTGTTGACCTCCAGTATCTGCAGGTGTGCGGCTGTGTTGACCTCCAGTACCTGCAGGTGTGTGGCTGCGTTGGCCTCCAGTACCTGCAGGTGTGGCTGTGTTGACCTCCAGTACCTGCAGGTGTATGGCTGTGTTGACCTCCAGTACCTGCAGGTGTGTGGCTGTGTTGACCTCCAGTACCTGCAGGTGTGGTTGTGTTGACCGCCAGTACCTGCAGGTGTGGCTGTGTTGACCTCTAGTACCTGCAGATGTGTGGCTGTGTTGGCCTCCAGTATCTGCAGGTGTGGTTGTGTTGACTTTCAGTACCTGCAGGTGTGGCTGTGTTGACCTCCAGTACCTGCAGATGTGTGGCTGTGATGGACTCCAGTACCTGCAGGTGTGGTTGTGTTGACCTCCAGTACCTGCAGGTGTGTGGCTGTGTTGACCTCCAGTACCTGCAGGTGTGTGGCTGTGTTGACCTCCAGTACCTGCAGGTGTGTGGCTGTGTTGACCTCCAGTACCTGCAGGTGTGGTTGTGTTGACCTCCAGTATCTGCAGGTGTGTGGCTGTGTTGACCTCCAGTACCTGCAGGTGTGGTTGTGTTGACCTCCAGTACCTGCAGGTGTGTGGCTGTGTTGACCTCCAGTACCTGCAGGTGTGGTTGTGTTGACCTCCAGTACCTGCAGGTGTGTGGCTGTGTTGACCTCCAGTACCTGCAGGTGTGGTTGTGTTGACCTCCAGTACCTGCAGGTGTGTGGCTGTGTTGACCTCCAGTATCTGCAGGTGTGTGGCTGTGTTGACCTCCAGTACCTGCAGGTGTGTGGCTGCGTTGGCCTCCAGTACCTGCAGGTGTGGCTGTGTTGACCTCCAGTACCTGCAGGTGTGTGGCTGTGTTGACCTCCAGTACCTGCAGGTGTGTGGCTGTGTTGACCTCCAGTACCTGCAGGTGTGGTTGTGTTGACCGCCAGTACCTGCAGGTGTGGCTGTGTTGACCTCCAGTACCTGCAGATGTGTGGCTGTGTTGGCCTCCAGTACCTGCAGGTGTGGTTGTGTTGACTTCCAGTACCTGCAGGTGTGGCTGTGTTGACCTCCAGTACCTGCAGATGTGTGGCTGTGATGGACTCCAGTACCTGCAGGTGTGGTTGTGTTGACCTCCAGTACCTGCAGGTGTGTGGCTGTGTTGACCTCCAGTACCTGCAGGTGTGTGGCAGTGTTGACCTCCAGTACCTGCAGGTGTGTGGCTGTGTTGACCCCCAGTACCTGCAGGTGTGTGGCAGTGTTGACCCCCAGTACCTGCAGGTGTGTGGCTGTGTTGACCTCCAGTACCTGCAGGTGTGTGGCTGTGTTGACCCCCAGTACCTGCAGGTGTGTGGCTGTGTTGACCTCCAGTACCTGTAGGTGTGTGGCAGTGTTGACCTCCAGTACCTGCAGGTGTGTGGCTGTGGTAACCTCCAGTACCTGCAGGTGTGTGGCAGTGTTGACCTCCAGTACCTGCAGGTGTGTGGCAGTGTTGACCTCCAGTACCTGCAGGTGTGTGGCTGTGGTGACCCCCAGTACCTGCAGGTGTGTGGCTATGTTGACCTCCAGTACCTGCAGGTGTGTGGCAGTGTTGACCTCCAGTACCTGCAGGTGTGTGGCTGTGGTGACCCCCAGTACCTGCAGGTGTGTGGCTATGTTGACCTCCAGTACCTGCAGGTGTGTGGCAGTGTTGACCTCCAGTACCTGCAGGTGTGTGGCTGTGGTGACCCCCAGTACCTGCAGGTGTGTGGCTATGTTGACCTCCAGTACCTGCAGGTGTGTGGCTGTTGACCTCCAGTACCTGCAGGTGTGTGGCTGTGTTGACCTCCAGTACCTGCAGGTGTGTGGCTGTGTTGACCTCCAGTACCTGCAGGTGTGTGGCTGTGTTGACCTCCAGTACCTGCAGGTGTGTGGCTGTTGACCTCCAGTACCTGCAGGTGTGTGACTGTGTTGACCCCCAGTACCTGCAGGTGTGTGGCTGTGTTGGCCTCCAGTACCTGCAGGTGTGGTTGTGTTGACCTCCAGTACCTGCAGGTGTGGCCGTGTTGACCCCCAGTACCTGCAGGTGTGTGGCAGTGTTGACCCCCAGTTAACACAGTATACCGTCCCCGTATACAATATAAGGAGAAAGATGCGACTGAACTACATACTATGGATATTAACGAGCATTCCCAGAGTGCTGTTAAGAGACCCTCGTAGGGAAAGGATTAGTGGAACACTCTGAAAACATTTTGCCTCAAAGTATCGGACAGGATGAGTGAAGGCAGTTCATGCTTCACTAGTTTGGTGCCTTCTGTTGACAATTACTTACTCATGCTTCAGTAAACTGTGAGAGGTGATACACTGATAGTGATAAAATCACTATCAATTCATAAAGGGAAGAAAAGGAAGGGCTGACTGATATTTCCTTGGCTGACAGAAAGTGTTTGGCAAAGTCCCCTCATGGAAAGTTCTAATAAAAAAATGAGAACCAGGTTGGCATGAATGTGCAGGGATGTGTGGGAGAATCTCTCTCTGGTAGGAAACAGAAGGGTAATGGTGAGAGAATAGAAGTGAGAGTATGGAGGAGTGAGGAGCGGCGTGCCTCAGGGAGCAGTATAGTGACTACTCCAGATGCTCTCAGCGTCCCGACGGAGACAAGAGAACCATCTGATGCCAGTAATACAGTGGTGAGAGATGTGGAGGCGCTCCAGCGGTGGTGGGAGATGTGGAGGCGCTCCAGTGGTGGTGGGAGATGTAATGGCGCTCCAGTGGTGGCGGGAGATGTGGAGGCGCCCCAGTGTTGGCGGGAGATGTGGAGGCGCTCCAGTAGTGGTGGGAGATGTGGAGGCGCTCCACCGGTGGTGGGAGATGTGGAGGCGCTCCAGTGGTGGCGGGAGATGTGGAGGCGCCCCAGTGTTGGCGGGAGATGTGGAGGCGCTCCAGTGGTGGCGGGAGATGTGGAGGCGCTCCAGTGGTGGCGGGAGATGTGGAGGCGCTCCACCGGTGGTGGGAGATGTGGAGGCGCCCCAGTGTTGGCGGGAGATGTGGAGGCGCTCCAGTGGTGGCGGGAGATGTGGAGGTGCTCCACCGGTGGTGGGAGATGTGGAGGCGCCCCAGTGGTGGCGGGAGATGTGGAGGCGCTCCAGCGGTGGCGAGAGATGTGGAGGCGCTCCAGCGGTGGTGGGAGATGTGGAGGCGCTCCAGCGGTGGTGGGAGATGTGGAGGCGCTCCAGCGGTGGTGGGAGATGTGGAGGCGCCCCAGTGTTGGCGGGAGATGTGGAGGCGCTCCAGCGGTGGCGAGAGATGTGGAGGCGCTCCAGCGGTGGCGAGAGATGTGGAGGCGCTCCAGCGGTGGCGAGAGATGTGGAGGCGCTCCAGCGGTGGCGGGAGATGTGGAGGCGCTCCAGCGGTGGCGGGAGATGTGGAGGCGCTCCAGCGGTGGCGGGAGATGTGGAGGCGCTCCAGCGGTGGCGAGAGATGTGGAGGCGCTCCAGCGGTGGTGGGAGATGTGGAGGCGCTCCAGCGGTGGCGGGAGATGTGGAGGCGCTCCAGCGGTGGCGAGAGATGTGGAGGCGCTCCAGCGGTGGCGGGAGATGTGGAGGCGCTCCAGCGGTGGCGGGAGATGTGGAGGCGCTCCAGCGGTGGCGGGAGATGTGGAGGCGCCCCAGTGTTGGCGGGAGATGTGGAGGCGCTCCAGCGGTGGCGAGAGATGTGGAGGCGCTCCAGTGGTGACGAGAGATGTGGAGGCGCTCCAGCGGTAGCGGGAGATGTGGAGGCGCTCCAGCGGTGGCGGGAGATGTGGAGGCGCTCCAGCGGTGGCGGGAGATGTGGAGGCGCTCCAGCGGTGGCGGGAGATGTGGAGGCGCTCCAGCGGTGTCGGGAGATGTGGAGGCGCTCCACCGGTGGTGGGAGATGTGGAGGCGCCCCAGTGTTGGCGGGAGATGTGGAGGCGCTCCAGTGGTGGCGGGAGATGTGGAGGTGCTCCACCGGTGGTGGGAGATGTGGAGGCGCCCCAGTGTTGGCGGGAGATGTGGAGGCGCTCCAGCGGTGGCGAGAGATGTGGAGGCGCTCCAGCGGTGGTGGGAGATGTGGAGGCGCTCCAGCGGTGGTGGGAGATGTGGAGGCGCTCCAGCGGTGGTGGGAGATGTGGAGGCGCCCCAGTGTTGGCGGGAGATGTGGAGGCGCTCCAGTGGTGGCGGGAGATGTGGAGGCGCTCCAGTGGTGGCGGGAGATGTGGAGGCGCTCCACCGGTGGTGGGAGATGTGGAGGCGCCCCAGTGTTGGCGGGAGATGTGGAGGCGCTCCAGTGGTGGCGGGAGATGTGGAGGTGCTCCACCGGTGGTGGGAGATGTGGAGGCGCCCCAGTGTTGGCGGGAGATGTGGAGGCGCTCCAGCGGTGGCGAGAGATGTGGAGGCGCTCCAGCGGTGGTGGGAGATGTGGAGGCGCTCCAGCGGTGGTGGGAGATGTGGAGGCGCTCCAGCGGTGGTGGGAGATGTGGAGGCGCCCCAGTGTTGGCGGGAGATGTGGAGGCGCTCCAGCGGTGGCGAGAGATGTGGAGGCGCTCCAGCGGTGGCGAGAGATGTGGAGGCGCTCCAGCGGTGGCGAGAGATGTGGAGGCGCTCCAGCGGTGGCGGGAGATGTGGAGGCGCTCCAGCGGTGGCGGGAGATGTGGAGGCGCTCCAGCGGTGGCGAGAGATGTGGAGGCGCTCCAGCGGTGGCGAGAGATGTGGAGGCGCTCCAGCGGTGGTGGGAGATGTGGAGGCGCTCCAGCGGTGGCGGGAGATGTGGAGGCGCTCCAGCGGTGGCGAGAGATGTGGAGGCGCTCCAGCGGTGGCGGGAGATGTGGAGGCGCTCCAGCGGTGGCGGGAGATGTGGAGGCGCTCCAGCGGTGGCGGGAGATGTGGAGGCGCCCCAGTGTTGGCGGGAGAGATGTGGAGGCGCTCCAGCGGTGGCGAGAGATGTGGAGGCGCTCCAGTGGTGACGAGAGATGTGGAGGCGCTCCAGCGGTAGCGGGAGATGTGGAGGCGCTCCAGCGGTGGCGGGAGATGTGGAGGCGCTCCAGCGGTGGCGGGAGATGTGGAGGCGCTCCAGCGGTGGCGGGAGATGTGGAGGCGCTCCAGCGGTGTCGGGAGATGTGGAGGCGCTCCACCGGTGGTGGGAGATGTGGAGGCGCCCCAGTGTTGGCGAGAGATGTGGAGGCGCTCCAGCGGTGGCGAGAGATGTGGAGGCGCTCCAGCGGTGGCGAGAGATGTGGAGGCGCTCCAGCGGTGGTGGGAGATGTGGAGGCGCTCCAGCGGCGGCGAGAGATGTGGAGGCACGAGGAGCAAGGGAGGAGGAGAGGTGAGGGAGGAGGAGCCACGAGGAGCGAGGGAGGAGGAGGAGCCACGAGGAGGGAGGGAGGAGGAGCCGCAGGAGTGAGGCAACCGGTGAGTTGGTCGTGAAATCAAGATGAATGGTTTAATGCTTTAATATCTTGGTGATAACCTACAGGAATGTGTGTGGTGCTCTAGAGGAATGTGAGGTGCTCTAGAGGAATGTGTGGTGCTCTAGAGGAATGTGAGGTGCTCTAGAGGAATGTGTGGTGCTCTAAATCAATGTGTGCTGCTCTAAATCGATGTGTGATGCTCTACAGGAATGTGAGATGCTCTAGAGGAATGTGTGGTGCTCTAGAGGAATGTGTGGTGCTCCAGAGGAATGTGTGGTGCTCTAGAGGAATGTGTGGTGCTCTAGAGGAATGTGTGGTGCTCTAGAGGAATGTTTGGTGCTGTAGAAGGGAATGTGTGGTACTCTAGAGGAATGTGTGGTGCTCTAGAGGAATGTGTGGTGCTGTAGAGGGGAATGTGTGGTACTCTAGAGGAATGTGTGGTGCTCTAGAGGAATGTGTGGTGCTCTAGAGAAATGTGTGGAGCTCTAGAGGGGAATGTGTGGTGCTCTAGAGGGGATTGTGAGGTGCTCTAGAGGAATGTGTGCTGCTCTAAAGGAATGTGTGGTGCACTAGAGGGGAATGTGAGGTGCTCTAGAGGAATGTGTGGTTCTCTAGAATAATGTGTGGTGCTCTAGAGGGGAATGTGAGGTGCTCTAGAGGAATGTGTGGTGCTCTAGAGGGGAATGTGTGGTGCTCTAGAGAAATGTGTGGTGCTCTAGAGGAATGTGTGGTGCTCTAGAGGAATGTGTGGTGCTCTAGAGGAATGTGTTTTGCTCTAGAGGGGAATGTGAGGGGCTCTAGAGGAATGTGTGGTTCTCTAGAGGAATGTGTGGTGCTGTAGAGGGGAATGTGAGGTGCTCTAGAGGAATGTGTGGTGCTCTAGAGGGGAATGTGAGGTGCTCTAGAGGAATGTGTGGTGCTCTAGAGGAATGTGTGGTGCTCTAGAGGAATATGAGGTGCTCTAGAGGAATGTGTGGTGCTCTAGCGGAATATGTGGTGCTCTAGAGGAATGTGTGGTGCTCTAGAGGGGGAATGTGTGGTGCTCTAGAGGAATGTATGGTGCTCTAGAGGAATGTATGGTGCTCTAGAGGAATGTGTGGTGCTCTAGAGGAATATGAGGTGCTCTATAGGAATGTGTGGTGCTCTAGAGGAATGTGTGGTGCTCTAGAGAAATGTGTGTGGTGCTCTAGAGGGGAATGTGTGGTGCTCTAGAGGAATGTGTGGTGCTCTAGAGGAATGTGGTGCTTTAGAGGGGAATGTGAGCTCTAGAGGAATGTGTGGTGCTCTAGAGGGGAATGTGGTGCTCTATAGGGGAATGTGTGGTGCTCTAGAGGGGAATGTGTGGTGCTCTAGAGGAATGTGTCGTACTCTAGAGGGGAATGTGAGGTGCTCTAGAGGAATGTGTGGTACTCTAGAGGGGAATGTGAGGTGCTCTAGAGGAATGTGTGGTGCTCTAGAGGAATGTGTGGTGCTCTAGAGGAATATGAGGTGTTCTATAGGAATGTGTGGTGCTCTAGAGGAATGTGTGGTGCTCTAGAGGAATATGAGGTGTTCTATAGGAATGTGTGGTGCTCTAGAGGAATGTGTGGTGCTCTAGAGGAATGTGTGGTGCTCTAGAGGAATGTGTGGTGCTCTAGAAGGGAATGTGAGGTGCTCTATAGGAATGTGTGGTGCTCTAGAGGAATGTGAGGTGCTCTATAGGAATGTGTGGTACTCTAGAGGGGAATGTGAGGTGCTCTAGAGGGGAATGTGGTGCTCTATAGGGGAATGTGTGGTGCTCTAGAGGGGAATGTGTGGTGCTCTAGAAGGGAATGTGAGGTGCTCTATAGGAATGTGTGGTGCTCTAGAGGAATGTGAGGTGCTCTAGAGGAATGTGTGGTACTCTAGAGGGGAATGTGAGGTGCTCTAGAGGAATGTGTGGTACTCTAGAGGGGAATGTGAGGTGCTCTAGAGGGGAAGGGTCTAGCAGAACACGGCTCGTCAATGTCTGGGGTAATGATCTCTTACATTACACGAACAAGTGACAGGAACAGGTACGTTATAGGAACAAGAGACCTTTAACAAGCCGCCGGCTTCCTGTCCCTCATTGAAGCCAATAGTGTGTTAGCGGCTCTCAGGTAAAAAGACGCGATATGATCCCTACGTATAAAATTGTATCACATTATCAAGAAAGAATGCGTGAGAGCTGGAACTTCAAGAGCAAACGATCATAGACTTAAGCTAACTAAGCTGCCGGAGACAGCTTAGTTAGCATCACTAGCACCACCACCACCACCACGAGCATCACCACCACCACCAGCATCAACACCACCACCACTACCACCATCACCACCACCACCACCACCACCATCACCACCACCAGCATCAACACCACCACCACTACCACCATCACCACCACCACCACCACCAGCATCACCACCACCAGCATCAACACCACCACCACTACCACCATCACCACCACCACCACCACCACCAGCATCACCACCACCACCAGCATCAACACCACCACCAGCATCAACACCACCACCAGCATCAACACCACCACGAGCATCACCACCACCACCAGTCATCACCATCACCATCACCACCAGCATCACCACCACCACCAGCATCAACACCACCACCACTACCACCATCACCACCACCACCAGTCATCACCATCACCACCACCACCACCACTACCACCATCACCATCACCACCACCACCAGTCATCACCATCACCACCACCATCACCACCACCACCATCACCACCACCACCATCACCACCACCACCACCATCACCACCACCACCATCACCACCATCACCACCACCACCACCACCAGTCATCACCATCATCATCACCACCACCACCACTACCACCATCACCACCACCACCAGTCATCACCATCACCACCACCAGTCATCACCATCACCACCACCACCACCACCATCACCACCAACACCATCACCACCAGTCATCACCATCATCACCACCACCACCATCACTACCACCACCACCATCACCACCACCACCACCACCATCACCACCATCACCACCAGTCATCACCGTCACCACCACCACCACCATCACCACCACCAGTCATCACCGTCACCACCACCACCACCACCAGTCACCACCATCACCACCACCACCACCACCACCACCACTACCACCACCACCAGTCATCACCATCATCACCACCACCACCACTACCACCACCACCAGTCATCACCATCATCACCACCACCACCACCAGTCACCACCATCACCACCACCACCACCAGTCATCACCATCATCACCACCACCACCACTACCACCACCACCAGTCATCACCATCATCACCACCACCACCACCAGTCACCACCATCACCACCACCACCACCACCACCACCACCACCACTACCACCACCACCAGTCATCACCATCATCACCACCACCACCACCAGTCACCACCATCACCACCACCACCACCACCACCACCACCACCACTACCACCACCACCAGTCATCACCATCATCACCACCACCACCACCACCACCCCCACTTTCCTCCCCTCAGGCAAGAAGTCAATAGTTTAAGTGCAAGTTGCAGGTCTCAATACGATACCAGCGCTCTTATGGGTAATGGCAGGAGATGGAAGGTCGGGAAATAGCTAAGATTGGGTGTTGTCGTGGGGGAGGGGTAGTTGGGGGGGTAATGGGTGTCCTGGGGAGGGAAGGGTGGGGGTAATGGGTGTTGTGGGAGGGAGGGAGTGGGTGGTGGGAGAGAAGGATGGGAGGGAAGGTAGCAGTGATGGGGCTTGTGAACGTTGGAACTTGCATTGTTGGTTATTATGATCCATATTGCTCTCCTCGGGGTGAAGAAACATTACATCCCTCTCATATGGCAACACTCTCAGTGTGTAGCCTTCACTTGGAGGGAGAGAGAGAGTGAGAGAGTGAGAGAGTGAGAGAGAGTGAGAGTGAGTGAGAGGGAGAGCGAGAGAGAGAGAGAGAATTTACCTGAGACTCAATAACAGTCTAATGGCCACGACGAGGACAGGAAGCCGGCGGCTTATCAAAGCCACCCCCCCCCCACATTTGTCGTGAGGATTTTATCGAGCTGAATTTTAAAGTTCAACAGAGTTTTTGGCATTTTCGGCTTCGGCGGGTAGGCGGTTCCATGGGTCTATAACCCTGTGGGTGAAAAAAACATCTCTTCTCAGTATTACACTGTGGCTTGTTGAGCTTGAAACTGTTGCTCCTTGTTTGTGTCACAATAAGTGTGGGCGCATCAGAGATTTATACAGTTGAATCACAACCTTCTGTTCCTTAAAGTCGAAGGTCCGCTTGATTATTCCCAGAGTTTGGTTAGTCTTTCTGACTGTTGTCCCCACCTGTTGTGCACCTCTCAGTGAATGATGGTACCCACTCCTAGTACCTTTTCTTCATCAATCTGTTGTAAGGTAATAGTGGTAGTTGTAACGTGGGTTGTTATGCCCCACATGTAACGTCATGCTTTTATTAATATTAAAAAACATTTGTCAGTCATCTGACCATTTGTGTAGTTTATGTAGATCTTGTAAGAGTTCAATATCATTTTTCACTTCACACTTTGTCATAAATCTTTGTGTCATCTGCAAATTTGATGATGTGGTTTATAATGTTCTCATCTATGTCATTGATGGTTATGACAAACAGGGTTAGCCCCAAAATGGACCCCTGTGGCACCACACTTACCATATTTCTCCAGTCACATTCATTCCCATTTAGCACCACTCTTTGTTTTCTTTGTTTCATCCATTGTATTATCCTCCAGCCATTCTAGTATTCTTCTATTTATTCCATGTGCCTGTACTTTCCTTGCCAGTCTTTTATGTGGTACCTTGTCAAAAGCTTTAGCAAAGTCCATGCAAATTACATCTGCTGCAACTCCTTTGTCTGAGTAGCGTTGGGTTGATTTAACAAGATTGTTCACTGTGAAATGGTGAATGATTCCCTCCCTTAGGATTCTCTCCGTGATCATGCAGAAGTGTCATGTCAAGCTGATTGGCCGGAAGTTTTCTGTTGAGCTCTTTCTGCTTTTTTCAAAATAGGGGCGACATTTGCATATTTCCAATCTATGGGGTCTACCCCCTGGTCCAGACATTTTCTGAAAAAGTTTCAATTTTAGGAATAATTCATCTCAAAGTTCCTTTACGACTTTAGATTGGATTTCATCCACATCTGGGGCTTTTGAGTCTTAGTTTATCACTGTTCTTCCTGATAATGTCTCATGTTATGGTCATATATCACTTAATGCCTTCTCTTCTCCTTCAAGCATTAGTGTGGATAATGGGATGTGATCTAATGTTTCTAATGTGAACACTCATGTAAAGTGTTCACTCACATTGTTTGGTGGCCTTTTATCGTCCATTATAACTTGTTTAGTCTCACCTTCTAACACTCGTGTAAAGTGTTCACTCACATTGTTTGGTGGCCTTTTATCGTCCATTATAACTTGTTTAGTCTCACCTTCTAAGGGTGCCACACAGCCTGTGTTTTGGTTTTACTTCTTATATAGACACAGAACAACTCTGGATCTTTCTTTATATTTTGGCCAAGTTTTCTTTCGTAGTTTCTTTTGCCTGATCTGATTTCCTGAGTGACTGAGTTTAGTGCCCTTTATATATATATATATATATATATATATATATATATATATATATATATATATATATATATATATATATATATATATATATATATATATATATATATATGTGTTCGTACCTAGTAGCCAGAACGCACTTCTCAGCCTACTATTCAAGGCCCGATTTGCCTAATAAGCCAAGTTTTCATGAATTAATTGTTTTTCGACAACCTAACCTACCTAACCTAACCTAACCTACCTTTTTCGGCTACCTAACCTAACCTAACTTATAAAGATAGGTTAGGTTAGGTTAGTTAGGGTTGGTTAGGTTCGGTCATATATCTACGTTAATTTTAACTCCAATAAAATAAAATTAACATCATACATAATGAAATGGGTAGCTTTATCATTTCATAAGAAAAAAATTAGAGAAAATATATTAATTCAGGAAAACTTGGCTTATTAGGCAAATCGGGCCTTGCATAGTAGGCTGAGAAGTGCGTTCTGGCTACTAGGTACGACATATATATATATATATATATATATATATATATATATATATATATATATATATATATATATATATATATATATCTTAATCAATGATGTTCACTCTTCTATGATGGTCATCACAACCTGCGATGTTCATAATATCACAATCTTATAATGTTCACTAATGAGAGAGAGAGAACTCCGTCATAGTGACTACAAGAATGTATAGTGACAGCCCCGTCATAGTGACTACAAGAATGTATAGTGACAGCCCCGTCATAGTGACTACAAGAATGTATAGTGACAGCCCCGTCATAGTGACCACAAGAATGTATAGTGACAGCCCCGTCATAGTGACTACAAGAATGTATAGTGACAGCCCCGTCATAGTGACCACAAGAATGTATAGTGACAGCCCCGTCATAGTGACTACAAGAATGTATAGTGACAGCCCCGTCATAGTGACTACAAGAATGTATAGTGACAGCCCCGTCATAGTGACCACAAGAATGTATAGTGACAGCCCCGTCATAGTGACCACAAGAATGTATAGTGACAGCCCCGTCATAGTGACTACAAGAATGTATAGTGAAAGCCCCGTCATAGTGACCACAAGAATGTATAGTGACAGCCCCGTCATAGTGACCACAAGAATGTATAGTGACAGCCCCGTCATAGTGACTATAAGAATGTATAGTGAAAGCCCCGTCATAGTGACCACAAGAATGTATAGTGACAGCCCCGTCATAGTGACCACAAGAATGTATAGTGACAGCCCCGTCATAGTGACTACAAGAATGTATAGTGACAGCCCCGTCATAGTGACTACAAGAATGTATAGTGACAGCCCCGTCATGGTGACCACAAGAACGTATAGTGACAGCCCCGTCATAGTGACCACAAGAATGTATAGTGACAGCCCCCGTCATAGTGACCACAAGAATGTATAGTGACAGCCCCGTCATAGTGACCACAAGAACGTATAGTGACAGCCCCCATCATAGTGACCACAAGAATGTATAGTGACAGCCCCGTCATAGTGACCACAAGAATGTATAGTGACAGCCCCGTCATAGTGACCACAAGAATGTATAGTGACAGCCCCCGTCATAGTGACCACAAGAATGTATAGTGACAGCCCCGTCATAGTGACTACAAGAATGTATAGTGACAGCCCCGTCATGGTGACCACAAGAACGTATAGTGACAGCCCCGTCATAGTGACCACAAGAATGTATAGTGACAGCCCCCGTCATAGTGACCACAAGAATGTATAGTGACAGCCCCGTCATAGTGACCACAAGAATGTATAGTGACAGCCCCCATCATAGTGACCACAAGAATGTATAGTGACAGCCCCGTCATAGTGACCACAAGAATGTATAGTGACAGCCCCGTCATAGTGACCACATGAATGTATAGTGACAGCCCCCGTCATGGTGACCACAAGAATGTATAGTGACAGCCCCGTCATAGTGACCACAAGAATGTATAGTGACAGCCCCGTCATAGTGACCACAAGAATGTATAGTGACAGCCCCGTCATAGTGACCACAAGAACGGCCGCCATATTTGTTTCCAATAAAAGAGAGAAATAACCATTGACGGATTTTCTAAAGATTTAGCGCAAGGTGAAAGTGAAGGACAAACCTAATTCTCCAGAAACATGAGGAAGATGAACACTATCACCTTGATGGTGATGGCTACCCGGGGAGGTCACCACAGCCACACACCTGCAGGTACTGGAGGTCAACACAGCCACACACCTGCAGGTACTGGAGGTCACCACAGCCACACACCTGCAGGTACTGGAGGTCACCACAGCCACACACCTGTAGGTACTGGAGGTCAACACAGCCACACACCTGCAGGTACTGGAGGTCACCACAGCCACACACCTGCAGGTACTGGAGGTCACCACAGCCACACACCTGCAGGTACTGGAGGTCAACACAGCCACACACCTGCAGGTACTGGAGGTCAACACAGCCACACACCTGCAGGTACTGGAGGTCACCACAGCCACACACCTGCAGGTACTGGAGGTCAACACAGCCACACACCTGCAGGTACTGGAGGTCACCACAGCCACACACCTGCAGGTACTGGAGGTCACCACAGCCACACACCTGCAGGTACTGGAGGTCAACACAGCCACACACCTGCAGGTACTGGAGGTCACCACAGCCACACACCTGCAGGTACTGGAGGTCACCACAGCCACACACCTGCAGGTACTGGAGGTCAACACAGCCACACACCTGCAGGTACTGGAGGTCACCACAGCCACACACCTGCAGGTACTGGAGGTCACCACAGCCACACACCTGCAGGTACTGGAGGTCAACACAGCCACACACCTGCAGGTACTGGAGGTCACCACAGCCACACACCTGCAGGTACTGGAGGTCACCACAGCCACACACCTGCAGGTACTGGAGGTCACCACAGCCACACACCTGCAGGTACTGGAGGTCACCACAGCCACACACCTGCAGGTACTGGAGGTCACCACAGCCACACACCTGCAGGTACTGGAGGTCAACACAGCCACACACCTGCAGGTACTGGAGGTCACCACAGCCACACACCTGCAGGTACTGGAGGTCACCACAGCCACACACCTGCAGGTACTGGAGGTCACCACAGCCACACACCTGCAGGTACTGGAGGTCACCACAGCCACACACCTGCAGGTACTGGAGGTCACCACAGCCACACACCTGCAGGTACTGGAGGTCACCACAGCCACACACCTGCAGGTACTGGAGGTCAACAGCACACACCTGCAGGTACTGGAGGTCACACAGCCACACACCTGCAGGTACTGGAGGTCAACACAGCCACACACCTGCAGGTACTGGAGGTCACACAGCCACACACCTGCAGGTACTGGAGGTCACCACAGCCACACACCTGCAGGTACTGGAGGTCAACACAGCCACACACCTGCAGGTACTGGAGGTCACCACAGCCACACACCTGCAGGTACTGGAGGTCACACAGCCACACACCTGCAGGTACTGGAGGTCACCACAGCCACACACCTGCAGGTACTGGAGGTCACCACAGCCACACACCTGCAGGTACTGGAGGTCACCACAGCCACACACCTGCAGGTACTGGAGGTCACCACAGCCACACACCTGCAGGTACTGGAGGTCACCACAGCCACACACCTGCAGGTACTGGAGGTCACCACAGCCACACACCTGCAGGTACTGGAGGTCAACACAGCCACACACCTGCAGGTACTGGAGGTCACACAGCCACACACCTGCAGGTACTGGAGGTCACCACAGCCACACACCTGCAGGTACTGGAGGCCAACACAGCCACACACCTGGAGGTACTGGAGGTCAACACAGCCACACACCTGCAGGTACTGGAGGTCACAGCCACACACCTGCAGGTACTGGAGGTCACCACAGCCACACACCTGCAGGTACTGGAGGTCACCACAGCCACACACCTGCAGGTACTGGAGGTCACCACAGCCACACACCTGCAGGTACTGGAGGTCACCACAGCCACACACCTGTAGGTACTGGAGGTCACCACAGCCACACACCTGCAGGTACTGGAGGTCACCACAGCCACACACCTGCAGGTACTGGAGGTCAACACAGCCACACACCTGCAGGTACTGGAGGTCACCAGAGCCACACACCTGCAGGTACTGGAGGTCACCACAGCCACACACCTGCAGGTACTAGAGGCCAACACAGCCACACACCTGCAGGTACTGGAGGCCAACACAGCCACACACCTGCAGGTACTGGAGGTCACCACAGCCACACACCTGCAGGTACTGGAGGTCAACACAGCCACACTCCGGCAGGTACTGGAGGTCAACACAGCCACACACCTGCAGGTACTGGAGGCCAACACAGCCACACACCTGCAGGTACTGGAGGTCACCACAGCCACACACCTGCAGGTATTGGAGATCAACACAGCCACACACCTGCTGGTACTGAAGGCCAACACAGCCACACACCTGCAGGTACTGGAGGTCAACACAGACACACACCTGCAGGTACTGGAGGCCAACACAACCACACACCTGCTGGTACTGGAGGCCAACAAAGCCACACACCTGCAGGTACTGGAGGCCAACACAGACACACACCTGCAGGTACTGGAGGCCAACAAAGCCACACACCTGCAGGTACTGGAGACCAACACAGCCACACACCTGCAGGTACTGGAGGCCAACACATCCACACACCTGCAGGTACTGGAGGTCAACACAGCCACACACCTGCAGGTACTGGAGACCAACACAGTCACACACCTGCAGTTACTGGAGGTCACCACAGCCACACACCTGCAGGTACTGGAGGTTACCACAGCCACACACCTGCAGGTACTAGAGGCCAACACAGCCACACACCTGCAGGTACTGGAGGTCAACACAGCCATACACCTGCAGATACTGGAGGTCACCACAGCCACACTTGCAGGTACTGGAGGCTAACACAGCCACACATCTGCAGGTACAGAGGGCCAACACAGCCACACACCTGCAGGTACTGGAGGCCAACACAGACACACACCTGCAGGTACTGGAGGCCAACAAAGCCACACACCTGCAGGTACTGGAGACCAACACAGCCACACACCTGCAGGTACTGAAGGCCAACACAGCCACACACCTGCAGGTACTGAAGGCCAACACAGCCACACACCTGCAGGTACTGAAGGTCACCACAGCCACACACCTGCAGGTACTGGAGGCCAACACAGTCACACACCTGTAGGTACTGGAGGCCAACACAGCCACACACCTGCAGGTACTGGAGGCCAACACAGCCACACACCTGCAGGTACTGGAGGCCAACACAGCCACACACCTGCAGGTACTGGAGGCCAACACAGCCACACACCTGCAGGTACTGGAGACCAACACAGCCACACACCTGCAGGTACTGGAGGCCAACACAGCCACACACCTGCAGGTACTGGAGGTCCCCACAGCCACACCTGCAGGTACTGGAAGCCAACACAGCCACACACCTGCAGGTACTGAAGGCCAACACAGCCACACACCTGCAGGACACTAGCAACTGTCCAGGTGATGGACTGGGCAACGAGGCGCCGGTGAAGGCGTGACCTCAACTCTTGAGTAATGACAAAGTTGAGCCTCAGTGGGCGTGGTGAGTGAGCACGCCTGCCACTATATATAAGGCCTCCTCCGCTCACTACTGCACAAGACTCAGTCATGACCACTAAGGTGAGCACTGCTCACCACACTCTTGTGGCTGGCACAGCAAGATAATATTAATTGTGTTAGCTAGAGTTTTTTCTTTCCGTGAGTATAGTGTTGCGTCTTTTACCCCATACAGGTTTGTTTGATGTTGTGTGTGGTGGGTGTGGTGCTGGCTCACCCAGAGCCCCCGCCCTCTGATGGCTACGGGTACTCTGCCCCAACCCACCCCCCACCCTACAAGCCTCCACAGCCTTCTTATCCGGCTCCTGCCTCAGCCTACAAGCCCCCACAGCCTTCTTATCCGGCTCCTGCCCCAGCCTACAAGCCCCCACAGCCTTCTTATCCGGCTCCTGCCCCAGCCTACAAGCCCCCACAGCCTTCTTATCCGGCTCCTGCCTCAGCCTACAAGCCCCCACAGCCTTCTTATCCGGCTCCTGCCCCAGCCTACAAGCCCCCACAGCCTTCTTATCCGGCTCCTGCCCCAGCCTACAAGCCCCCACAGCCTTCTTATCCGGCTCCTGCCCCAGCCTACAAGACCCCACAGCCTACTTACGGTGCCCCGACCCAAGAAGTAAGTGAATTAATTTCTCTCGCTAAAAACGAAAGAAATTGTAAATATTATTTGGCATCTAAACATTAATCTTCTTAAAGAAAATCGAGTCTTTCGAAAGTTTTCAGTGAGACAAATGTACATTATAAATTATTACGTGATTTCCATACAATTTGACATTGACTTTAGTTTCGTCACGAAGAATAAGACTGAAATATGTTGTGTGATCACTGGACTGTTCCACGTGACTGCTGGTTCGTCTTCATGGTGCCTCTATGAGGAAACTGCAACGATTCTAGCTTCATCTGTTTGATAATACAAATATTGGTGTTGACCAGACCACACACTAGAAGGTGAAGGAACGACGACGTTTCGGTCCGTCCTGGACCATTCCCAAGTCGATTGTTGACTTGATACCACAATCGACTTGAGACTGGTCCAGGACGGACCGAAACGTCGTCGTCCCTTCACCTTCTAGTGTGTGGTCTGGTCAACATTCTTCAGCCACGTTATTGTGACTCATCGCCTGCACAAATATTGGCTACTGTTGCATCGTGCAGAATCGTTGACTGCAACACATTACTAAAATGTAACACTTTCCAGAAGGGAATGCCGTTCGACTTCACGTACAGCGTGGTGGAGCCGTACAGCGGCAACGACTTCGGCCACAACGCCAACTCCGACGGTAATGTTGAGACCGGCGAGTACCGAGTCGTTCTGCCTGATGGTCGTACTCAGGTCGTCTCCTACACGGCCGATGACTACAATGGCTACGTGGCCGATGTCCAGTATCAGGGAGAAGCCCAGTACCCCGAGCCCAAGCCCTACCAGCCTGCCCCAGCCTACGACAAGCCTGCTCCAGTGTATGGCACACCTGCACCTACTTATGGCGCACCATCTCCAACATATAAGACGCCTGCTCCGACCTATGGCACGCCTTCCCCAACCTACGGCACTCCACCGACCTACAAAACAACTAAGGCTACCTACAAGAAACCTTCTCCAACTTACGGACCCCCATCTCCAAAATACGGTACTCCTTCCCCAACCTATGGAACACCTTCCCCAAAATATGGAACACCTTCCCCAAAATATGGAACACCCTCCCCAACCTATGGAACACCTTCCCCAAAATATGGAACACCCTCCCCAACCTATGGAACACCCTCCCCAAAATATGGAACACCTTCCCCAACCTATGGAACACCTTCCCCAAAATATGGAACACCTTCCCCAACCTATGGAACACCTTCCCCAACCTATGGAACACCTTCCCCAACCTATGGAACACCTTCCCCAACCTATGGAACACCTTCCCCAACCTATGAAACACCCTCCCCAAGCTACGGCGCCCCTTCACAGGCCCACAACAATCCCGACCAATATTATGATGAACAATCAGTCTATGGTCCACCAAGCTATGACTATTAACTTGGAATCCTGTGAGCGTTGTGTACCACTTTATCTCCATATTTAATTCAGCACATCCTCTAATAAAAACTTGGAATCATAATCTCGTGTGTATTTGATTGAAATATTTGATTTGATTGTTGAACCTCAACAACACACCCACAACAATATAGCCACAACAATTTACCCACAACTACAACATGGCCACAGCAACATGGACACAACAACAACACACTCACAACATGGCCACAATATACCCACAACTACAACATGGCCACAACAACAACACACTCACAACATGGCCACAATATACCCACAACTACAACATGGCCACAGCAACAACATACAACATACAACAACACACTCACAACAACATGGTCACAACAATATACCCACAACTACAACAACATGGCCACAGCAACAACATACAACAACACACTCACAACAACATGGTCACAACAATATACCCACAACTACAACAACATGGCCACAACAACAACACACTCACAACATGGCCACAATATACCCACAACTACAACATGGCCACAGCAACAACATACAACATCGCCATAACAATATACCCACAACTACTACAATAACAACATACCCACAACAACAACGCACCAACAACAACATACCCATAACAACAACATGGCAAACGACCCACAAACCACCAGTTGAGAGGCGGGACCAAAGAGACAAAGCTCAACCCCCGCAAGCACAAATAGGTGAATACAACAAATAAAGGCACGCCCTCACCAACACTAAAACACACCCACACCCCACCAAACCATCCACAACACCAAACCACCCACAACAAACAACAAAGGCACGCCCCCAACAAACAACAAAGGCACGCCTACAACAGGAGGACTCACTATCAGGCGGTGATAGTGAGCAGCCACAATCACAGGGAATCGCAACATGTCCCGTGACTCACTGAGGCGCCGCTAGAGGCGCCACGGGTCGCTTCCCAGGTGTTGGCTGGTCTGTTGTGTTATCATCTGATACAACACCTGCTGACTGTGTGTCGCAGTTCTTGAATAACACACATCCTACCCCAGTAATTGGACAATCATATACAGTATACGAGCAATGGAAACTGAAGGTCTTCTGGACTATGTAAGGCGGCTGCTGCCTATCCTCAGGCTAGGCGTGTCCATTTGGTGGTCGACGCTTAAGACACATTCGTCAATTTTCACGTACTGTGTATTCAAAATTTGTACTCTCTCAAATATAAATACATACATCAGGTCATCACCAAAGGTCAAATGCTCTTTAATCCATCCGCCAAACCCCGTTTATGAATGAAAAACGGTTTACACACGCCTTAACTGATGACGTTCGTATGGGGTAATCCTGGCAGGCAGTTATTTGTTTTTATTCTTTGTGAATATTTAATTTGTATTCTTCAGTTACTTCAATACTGATTTATGATTCTAAGTGGACTGTAAGTAAATTTAGCCTGCCAAGCTTTACCTACACATAGTTGGGTGTAAATGTTCACAGTTTATCCCACATTGGTGGAGATAAATTAAACCATAAACACTTTCTATTAAATTTAAATTATACCACATATGGTGGCTTATAACTAGCCACAGTAAGGTTAGTACTACAAATGTTATGATAAACATAGGTAAATATAAACATAAATTCTTATCAGAGTAGGTAGATATGGCCTGATTAGGCAGTGTGACTACATCAAATTAGGGTGTGGCACATGTAGCCTAGTTGCTATGTAATGGCGGCTAGCACTGTGGCGTCTGTGGAGCAGCTAAGGTATGCAAGAAGCTTCACAGGTTATGTTGGCCAGCTCATCTTCTAATATCTCCAGTCACAAGTTTACCTGCCAAATAATCGGTATTAATAATGGCTCCATTAACATATAAAGTACAGGTGTGACATGAAATATTCGTGTAGTAAAGAGATTTAAAGAGATGTAGTAAAGAGCCGGGGAGGATTTACTGGGCGCAATTCCTTAACTGTAGCCTCTGTTTAACGCAACAGTAAAATGTGTACTTGGATGAAAAACGATTCTTCGCGGCAGGGGATCGTATTCCAGGGACCATAGGATTAAGGACTTGCCCGAAACGCTACGCGTACTAGTGGCTGTACAAGAATGTAACAACTCCTGTATATATCTCAAAAAAAAAAAAAGAAAAAAAAAAGATAAAACTCACTTTGTTGGGGTTGAAGCCCCAGAGTATAACCGAAATTATATTTATCCTTGATTAATAATGGCCACTATTACATGGATATTACACAAATCGGACACTATGATACTCCCGTTATTGTAGAGGTTGTTGTGGCAAGTCACTAGGATAGAATAGTCCATCGTGTGTGAAACATGTTGTAAAATCTCTCAGGAGCACTGACTGTCTCGTGGGTGTGTTTACATTTTTTCTGAGACAAAGACTGCCCGGCTCCAGGGCTGCCAGATCTAAATTGCTAAAAGTAGCGAATTTGTAATAAGAGTAGCCCAATTTTTTTTTAAATTTGAAAAATTTCCAATTTTGAAAATTTGGGACTTGAACAGAGGGGCTGTGAAATAGGTTCTTTTAATTGCCTTATAAAATTTAACGAATAAAAAGGTTTTCGTGCCTTACCATCTTTGTAGTATGATAATCACGACATATCTGCATTAAAAATCGGTGAGCAATTCCGGTTTTGGCCTCCACCGCCTTCTCACTTGTTCCCTTGTAACTTGTAACACTTATATGCTGGGCTTCCTATTTTAACCTGCTATGTTAGATGGGAATCTTGTATTGTGATTTGTGTATTTGTACTCACTGAATTTGTGCGCCCCTTGAGGGACTTGAAGTAGAGGGGGGGGGGGGGGCTAGAAATAGCCTAAGCTACTCTATCCCTTTGAGATGTATTTTTTTATTGTCTCAATAAACATACTTGAACTTGAAGTGGACTTTAATGTTTTTTTCGGCAGCTTTATTTCCTTAGTTTCCGAGCTGTTTTCTTTACCGTGTATGTTGTAATAAACTATTCCTATATTTACACTTGTTTCTCCCTGTGACGATTATTAAACAATGGTGATTATAAGGGCGCGGAAGTTCAGCCTGGCCAGGGCCGCCAGCAGCCCTTGGGCCCGCCCCGGCAGCACCCAGTCTTTAATTTGGCACCTTTGTGGCACCTTGGTATAAGCCTAACATGTATATATACACTGGCTGCCTGTCCCCCCTACACAATGATTTATTATTACCTAATATTTTATCATTTAATTTAAATATTAAATAAAATAATTTACTTAATGATTATAGTAAGTACTTAATAATTTAATAATAAGTAGTAAGTACATAAAAATGATTAAAAAATACAGTTTAGTCATAGGAGATTCCTAGATTGGAATTCACTACCAAATTTCAATATATCCAAGTATTTTTAGTGTGAAATGCTGTTATTATATGCATAAATTGTTGTTTTAATAATATTACGCTTAACCACTTGGGCTGGACGGTAGAGCGACGGTCTCGTTTCCTACAGGTCTGCGTTCAATCCCCGACCGCCCAAGAGGTTGGGCACCATTCCTTTCGCCCGTTCCATCCCAAATCCGTATCCTGGCCCCTTCCGAGTGCTATATAGTCGTAATGGCTTGGCGCTTTCACTTGATAGTTCCCCCACCCCACTGAATAATATTACGAGAGCAGTATTTACGGGCTATTCATGCCCGTGCCACCTCTTGGGTGGCTTAATCTTCATCAATCGAGAGCAGTACGTCCTAACCAGACGTTATATGATGATATCCTGAACAGTTGATAAATAAAAGTAATTGCGGAACTCCAGTTATCTAATACTTATCATAAATGGTATAAAATCTTATCATAAGCCAAGGGATTTGTAGATCAGTGTTGTTGTTGTGTTGATTTAGGGGCGACGACGACGTAGATCAGTGTTTAAAGGGAATTCGGAAGTAATAATAACACAGCTGATGCCATCTGTCGGCAGAAGAGAACACTATCAACTGGCTGGTCAATAATGGCCATAAGATACAGCTTACGCCATCTGTTGACATCAAATTACACTTATAACAAATTACCCCACAAAATACAACTAACGCCATCTCTTTTTTTCCAACGCACTATAAATAGCCAAACAGCAACCCATAAGGTGGGTTGTTGTGCTCGGGTAGGAGGTTCCAAGCTCCGCCCACAAGTGGTATGGGGTGCATAATAAATGGCATATCATTGGTAGATATTCTTTGTTGACATTCACACAACAGCCAATCACAGGAAGGGATCAGCTAAAGGCTCCAGCCACTTAATAAATCATCTTTATTCAGCACACCATTCTTGCTTATGACATTCTGCTTCAACTTTAATCTACCTAAAAAGTGAAATGTTAAGTATTTAAAAGTATTAATATAGTGATAATTAAATACTGCAGAATGTAACGAGTGTTACAGAAACATGGGCTGGCTACCTAACTTGTGACGTCATCAGTGGGAGTTGCCTCACACAAATAATGATACTCTGCTCTGCCCTCTTATTCCAGTAAATTATTCAGTTAGATGGAGATTTCTGTCAGATGCAAAACAGAAATTGTTGTTCTTTTTCACAACAACCTTGTTGTTGTTCACAAGGACCTATTTCTTAGTTTAAATTTTATTCATAAAAGAGTGTTGGTATTCCCCGCAACAGCCAATCACAGGAAGGTATTTCTGGAAGCTCGGCCTCCACATCGCTCTAGCTCATGGCTCTCTGTTTCATCTCTTGTATATACAAACTATGACTTTTTTCGATTACTGTTATAATTAATAATATGAGATATAAAAGTTTTTACACAAAATGGCTAAATTCTGCCATTAAATGGACTTTGTCTGGTATACATACAAACATATACCAATTTATTACCATTCAACCATTATTAATTTCAAATGTAATGTATACTGTCTAGTTTTTTCCTCTCGCCATTACTTGGTGCAATATTTGAAAGTTGTCTATTTATTTATCGATCTATCTATTATCTTGTATTTATATTTACAAGTTTCTGTGCTTGGAAGAAAACTCTGCATTGAATTGGGACTAATTTATTAAATAATATTATTTAGTATTAATTAATATTTACAATTATTATTAATTACAATTATTTATAGCTTAGCTACTTTCAGGTAACTCGCAATCGTACATTCTTAACATTAATAGCCCAAATTAGCACATCTTGCTTTTAAATTAGCCCAAAAAAGTAGCAAGTAGCGAAATTAAAAATTTGGGAGCGCGGAGCTCTCAAAAGTAGCCCAATTCTCTATTTGTAGCCCAATCTGGCAACACTGCCCGGCTCCCTTCCCTGAGCTGGCGTTTCATCAATATTCTATTGGTTCCAACTCTGATTTATAGATTTAGGGAGTCAAGCTATATTTTTCTGGTGTACTTATTTATATTCAGTCCTAGTGTCCTATTTTAGTCCTATTTTATTAAGTTTAAACACTAGATTGTGGCTTTAAAAGAAATGAGATGTGTACATAGATGTCTTGTTGTGATGACGTCATGAAATCTCTCCTTTTCCTTTAATGTTTGGTAATGGCTAACTATAGAATGTTAACATTGTCGGATTTCCGACAGATCGAACATTTCTCGAACAGTGCTTCACTGACGACCTCTGTTCGAATCGCAACTCTGTAAATGCTTCACCCACGTACTTCAAATACAAATACTCGCCAACAGAACCTAAACACCTAACCTAACCGAACCTATGCCTAACTATACACATAATTTTAATATATAATAATATTAATGTATAAATGAAAACTTATTTTAATGTACAATATGTTAACATTTATGAATGCACAATGGGCATGGAGAATGCACAAATTCTCAAAGGGTGCCTGACAGCTGGGTGGACAGCGCTTCGGATTCGTAGTCCTGAGGTTCCGCAGCCCGTCCTCCAAACAAAGATCCAAAAGTGATTCCAAGCACCCGCCAAACCCCTTGTTTATGAATGAAAAGCGGTTTACACACGACTCAACTGCTGACATTCGAACATATCCGGAACAAGTGCTTCACTGACGAATTTTGTTCGAATCACAACGCTATAAATGCTTCATCCACGTACTACATATACAAATAACCGCCAACAGAACCTAAACACCTAACCTAACCTATCCTATGCCTATATATACACAATATGCTAATATATTATAATATTAATTTATACTTGAGAAAATTCCCGTTTTGAGTGAACAGTATGTTAAAATTTATGAATGCGTCTGTGGGGTTGACCGCTGAATGTAATGGACTTGAGTCGAGGACGGGTTGGGTTCCTGGTACGATCCCCGGTGGAGGAAGAGACAAATGGGCAAAATGTTTCTTTCACCCTGATGCCCCTGTTACCTAACAGTAAATAGGTACCTGGGAGTTAGACAACTGCTACGGGCTGCTTCCTGGGGGTGGAGGCCTGGTCGAGGACCGGGCCGCGGGGACACTAGGCCCCAAAATCATCTCAAGATAACCTTGGAGGACGGCCGCAGCTTTAACAAGCCTGGCCTGAGGACTGGTTACATCAGTTGTGAGTCATGTGTTAACTGTTTTTCGTTCATAAACAGGGGGGTTTAGTTGGTTGATTAATGAACATTTGACCTATGTTGATGAGAACGGATTGATACCAGCCACAACTCGACCCGTACTCAGACCAAGTCCATTCCATCCAGCAGCCCGTCCTCATAAACAAAGGCCCAAAGTCCATTCCATGCACCCGCCAAACCCCTAGTGTCTGTCCGACGTTGGACAGACTATTTTATACATATAATTTACCTTACCTACTATGTAACCACTTTAGTATGTCCTTTTTAAACTGTATGAATAAAATAATATTATTTTTATTATTAATATTATTATTATTATTCGATATGCTTGGGAATATCCAGTGTGCAGGTTCGAATCCTCATCATGACCTGCTGATTTGTTCATTATTATTATTATTATTGCATGATGAAATTACATTCACCTGATGTATCAATGAGAAAATCAGTTAGTCAAGAGCAGGATTCGAACCCACGTGCTTGGTACTCCCAAGCACAAGCGTATACTGGTCTAGGGGTTGGGAGTTCCAAGTGTCTGGGTTCGAATCCTCCTTATGATTCCTCCTAATTTTCTCATTAATTTTATAATTATTATTATTATTATTAGCATTATTAATATTGTTATCATTATCCACTTTGTTATATCCTCTCATCCATGTGAATACTTGAGTCATGTCCACCCTTATTCTTTGTCTCGCGTGAGGGAGGCTCCTAATTCCTGGGATTACCTTGGTCGTCTTTATCTGTACAAGTTGGTGAACATATCAATTGTATAGCGGGGCGCCCACACTCAAGTCCATAATCTGAAGTAGGTGCTATATTGATAACAACAAAACTAAATATTTTTACCTTTCCAACATGATATTGGATAAAATATTATCATAACACGCTGATAAAAAAAATGCATTCTTTACCAAAGTTTTAGTTGGGTGGTATTGGCTTAAGGTTATTCATTATCCTTAAGATACAGCAAGTTCAAGTACATTTATTGAGACAAATAAAATACATCTCAAAGGGATAGAGTAGCTTAGGCTATTTCTACCTAGCTAAAAAGATAAAAGATGTATAAAAGATACAGCTTTTGTCAGTAAAGTTACCTGACACTCCCCCCCTCCACCCCCCACCCTTGAGTATAAACACACTAGAGGGGCGGTGCCTTCAGTAAGTTGTTTTTATTATTATTATTATTTTCTACCACAGACGTGGCCACACATTTACAATGCTAACCAGCATATATACATTTTCTTCTGTCCTCCATGGACAGGGTGAGAGATTTGTCAAACATACAGTTCAGGAATTTATTGACCAATCAACTACAGAAGGTGACTGTAGTGCTTTTAAAATGCCTTCAGTAAGTGAGTGGATCACACAAACTTTAGTAACAAGACAAAACATTGGCTGGTGGAGAGTGGCGTTGTAACTCGTAACAGTAGTGGAGCTCCCAACACCTGGTTCCAGTAGTGGCCTCCATCCATAGCAACCTCATTATCGGAAATATATGTATATTGACTAACAAGTGTTATCATTAAGAAAATATCGATATCAAATAAACAGGTGCGACACAGATAGCGAAGCATATATAGGCTTGGTGGGGAGTGGTGCCTAACATTCAGCAGCTTACAGTAGCAGTGACTACTGCTATTGTCCTTAGAACCTGTTACCATAACCACTGCTGAGGTAAGTATAAACCACTTAATCCTTTGATTTGGTGTCGGACTTGAGGCCTTTGAAGCTACTCTGAAATGTATTTACTATACTACTTTACTATCCCTTTGAGATGTATTTTATTGCCTCAATAAACGTACTTGAACTTGCACCTCTGGAGGGTTATTACATTAAGTTATGTTACGTTAGAATAGATTGGGTTAAAGATTACGTGGTAAAAATTACGTGTTTCAGCGAGGATGACTGACCCAGGGGTGCAGGCGAGCCTCCACAAGGACGTCACCACCACACTACCACGTATCTACAATTACTTCGCGGCCACCCGCTTCAGGGAGGTCAACCTCATCGACCGTCTTTATCCGGACATCCGTTCCGTGGGTCAGTCACAGTACCTGCCTGTCCGTACGGGAGGTGAACCCCTTTCTCAATCACTAAACTCATCCAGCTTGGTCATCTCATTTTATACATCATATACTCCGTGTAAACTGTAATCTGTATCTCCTTGTGCTCTCTCTCTCCGTGCAAATTAGATTATATATTACAAACCTTGTGAGCACAAGGTCCCTTCCTTCAATATTTTTTATTAACATAAGTACTCATCACAACCTGTCACCAAGACCTCTTATCACAACCTGTCACCAAGACCTCTTATCACAACCTGTCATCAAAACATCTTATCACAACCTGTCATCATGAGCTCTTATTATAACCTTATCAAGACATCTTTTCACAACCTGTCAAAACCTGTTATTACAACTTATCAAGACCTCTTTTCAAGACCTCTTATCAGAACCTTTATTATTATTATTTATTATTATTATTATTATATTATTATTTATTATTATTGAAGATGTTAATTATTACATTTTGGCATGTAATAATTAACATTTAGAAGCAGTAGTAAATCATATGATAGCCTCATCACATACCACAAAGATATCAATGGGCTAAAAACTAAAGAAATTCAACTAATCCACTGTCAGAATTTTATGGCACATAAATTAATGATATATTAAACTCACTACGTACGTAGGGTTGAAGTTAAACCTGGCTTCTTAACCAGAGTTTTTCTGTGGAATAAATGGTGACTGGCATATATATATATATTAATTTGGTACCAAAAATGATAAAACACAAGCAGCCACAAACCGTCCATTGACACTGTTGGAGACCGGGTGCCAGAGACCACTTCTAGTCAACACAATTAACAAGGTGTAGAGCTGGGCACAATATTTTCACATCATCAACTGAGAGGGACATGTTGGCGTCGCTGCCAGTTGATTGTTCAGTCTTGAATTTCTCCTATTTATGTCTTTTCATTCAGTATTAGTGTTTATTTAGTTTGCCACACACACTTCTTAAACTCCCGCACAAATCTCAACATGCCTGTAAGCAACAGTTGTTGTTCATACGACCAAACACAAGGTGTATGAGAGGTAGTGAGTCCGGGCGCTCTGGGGCTCCTCCACCACCGTGGTCACAACAGGCATGGAGTCGCCCGCCTCACACAGCACACGCTGGGTAATTGATTTTAATTTCTAATATATATATATATATAAACAATGTGCTTATTTATTATGATTAACACCTTAACACTAAATTATGGCGTATTTTATAAGTAATAATCAATATTAATGAGATCAAATTTAATTAGTATCACTAGTTTTGGTGTCATGATGCTGTATGTTGGTGCGTCTGTAAGCTGGCCGGCGTTATGAAGCCTATAATTATTATTATTATTATTGACACAATCTTTATTGACAAAATTGAATTACAATTTTGCCTAATCTGAGGAATTCAATTAGGTCTTATTAGAGTCAGGATAATGCTGGTATTCATTGTCACAGGACAGAGGGTCATACACATACACAAGACAATAGGTCTAAACTGTAGGCTGAAGCATATATATATATATATATATATATATATATATATATATATATATATATATATATATATATATATATATATATATATATATATATATATATACGTTAATATATAAAAAAAAATATAATTATATAAATTGGGCCTTGCATAGTATATAAGTGCGTTCTGGCTATATATATATATATATATATATATATATATATATATATATATATATATATATATATATATATATATATATATATATGGTTACAATCAATGTTTCAATATGTAATTACAACTTTCTATTGTGCACTGCCACACATGGGCCGGGATGGGTTCGTAAGAAATGCAGCTTAAAAATAATATAAATAAAATTGTTCTTCATTCTTTCAAATGGAAAAGCAAATTTAGGATAAATTATTAGGATGTCGTCCAGTATACCAGATTCAATGAAATAGTTACACAGTTGATGGTACAATAGGCCAGGAGATCTAAATTCTTTTACGGTTTCACTTTTAATAATATAGTGTTCTAGTGAATGCATTAAAGGTTTATCACAGAGTTTACAATCTGAGTACTGTATTCTGATAGTGGCTCAGCTTTACTAACCTGCCAGATGTGCCTATAGCCAAGGCGAATTCGCGCAATGACTACATCACATTGCCTGGTCCGGTTACTCTGCTGACCATACAAATACCTATTATTACAAAACTTGTCATAACTTTCAATACTGCAGCTTTCAGGTCTCTGGGCATATTTTAGCTCTTTTAAATTTGAAGTAATTTCTTTAATTTCTATGTTTCTAATAATTGCATTAGATAGTCCAAAGTCATAATCAGTGTTTTCTTTCCTGCAAGCCTCATTGGCCAATCGATCTACGAAGTCATGTTTTCCAACTCCAACATGGGATGGGATCCACACAAATTTTATACTATAGTTATTATCATTCGCAAAAATTATTCTATTTAATATTACAATCTACTTCCGACATACATTGTGATGGGTTATTTAAAGACTGCAGAGCACTTTTAGAGTCACAGAATATCACTCCACCACCATTGAGCTTAAGGTACTCAGTGGCTAGATAGATACCCAATAGCTCAGTCTGTGTCGTGCTTGCCCAGTTGTTCAGTCTCTGTGTACTAGACATGATCATTTCATTCCCTTTATGTACTGCACATGCACAACCTGTTCTACAAGTGCCTAATTGCACAGAACCATCAGTAAAGGCATAGGATTCAGTTGGTTTGAGATTTTGAAGATGACTGTCAATAGCTTCCAATGTTATAAGAGATGCTTGGCGGGGCGGGAGTTTACTCTTGGTAAACTCCATATAAATTGGTAATAAAATTAAACTGTAAATATTTTCCACACCTCTTATCACTGTGTCATCAAGACCCATTATCAGAGCCTGTCATCAACACCTCTTATCATACACTGTTATCGAAACCTGTTACACTGTTCTACAACAAAATGTTTCTGAAACAAATTTAGTCAATTCTTGACTAATTTGAGTCACTGAGATCTAAAATGATGTTTATAATTGTTGGTTAGTTCTAGTTTTCATCCAAAACGACTCAAAGCTATTTTGCTGCTTAATTGGACTGTTTTGCCATCAATTCCATTGGGTTATGCAGCCCATGTGAAGGAATCTTTTGACGACATGAAGAAGCTGTTGAGGTGTATAAACTATGACGAACATGAGTGGCAGCTGTGTAGCGACTTGCAGGTTGTTGCTCTTGTGATGGGTCTGCAGAGTGGGTACACAAAGTGTTCTTGGTGAGTGGGAGAGTCGTGCGAGAGACTCCCACTGTCGTAACAGACCAGCCCCTCCCTCCATCATAGGAGCCGTTCCTCACAGCATGTTCTCAAGCACATATTAAGGGGGATCTCGATAAATATAACAGGCTTCCGTTCCCCGACAACTTGAAACTAATATAACCTCCTTTCCCGGGCTTCCATTTGACTAACCTGAGGCTTCTCTCTACAGAGCTGTCACACTGGAGCGTCCCTGGGGGTGCCGGAGCATGGCAAGACTGGACCTTCCAGGAGATAGTGGCGCAGGAGTTCGCCCCCACCACTGTCGGGGAGAAGTTCGGCCCCACCTGGAGCACCCACTGGTTCAAGGTCACCTTCCAGGTCCCGGACGAGTGGGCGGGAGCTGAAGTGAGGCTTCGCTGGGGTTCCAACTCTGAGGCCGCCGTCTGGAGCCCTGAAGGTAGTATTCTCCAGGTGAGTGTCTGGAGCCCTGAGGCACAGTGAGAAACACTGAGGCACATTGTGACTCAATGAGGCACACTAAGACACAATGAGGCACGGTGAGATAAAGGAAAGCTTTTGTAATAGCTAGAGAAATTTCGGTATCATTCTTCCCTTCTCTTCCTTTTTTTTCTCCTTTATTTTCCCTTCTCCCTCTCCCTCTCCTTCTGTTCCCACCCTCCTCATGTCACATAGGACGTGAGCTATATTTCTTGTTGAAGTTTTTATAAGTTCCTGGAGTTCAAAGTCTTTACTTTCCTCCACGTGAGTCAAGGATGAATGTCTTTGTATACATCCTACAGTGATCCTTTCAAGTAATTATCCTTTGGTGATACAACATTCAGTCGCTGTAGTATGGCGTCCTTAACTCTCACTCCTGTAGAGTTTATGTGTGATTATCGCTGTCAGGGCGAGCGCATTTTATTCCATAGTGGTTAACATCATGAACGTTATAAAGGGTTGTAAGGTAAGCGCTATAAATGGTAACAGCGGCGTCTGGTTCATTACACTTTGTGTTGCAGGGACTGTCTACAGGGGACGAGGACGCTCTCCGCACAGACTACACCATAACACAGTCCTATGAGGCCGGGTCGCCCCCCTACACCTTCTACGTGGAGATGGCCGCCAACCGCATTATGGGGGCCTCCTCTGGCGACCTTATAGGTCAGTCAACTCCCCCCATGTCCATATAATCAACTCCCCCATGTTCAGCGTCAACTCCCTCGTCTCCATAGTCAAATGATATGAAATACCAACTTTTTATGTCAGGTACAATTCAATTAATCTGCAACTTTAATCCATGGCCAATAAGTTGTTATCTCATCTCCAGACACAAGGTCCATTCCACGCTAAAGAACACTGATTTAAGATTATGCCCAGTCTGGTAGGAAGCTCTGCACACTGTGTCCCTAATCCCCACCTCTAGGCCTCCCCTGGCCAATGGCAAAACTAGGCCTACCTCTGGGGCACCCCAAAATCCAATCAACTGACTAGGGATTGATTGACCAGATGACTGGCACGCAAGAGCCAATCAAGGCTTAAGGCCAAACTCAAAGTGAAGGAAGACGTGACTTTCTCATAGCCTTCCAAGTGCTGAACAATATCCATAACATGACAATTTCTCGACTGTCTAACCATGTCGTACACATAGGAGAACAAGGAGAAGGAAAGAGGAGGTGGGCCTGAAGGACCAAACTGTTCTCCAGGGAGGGAAAGCGGGCGTCAAACCGCAAAAACTGACCCACTGAGAACTAAGTCTGGGAACAGAGAGGGAAGAATCAGGGGAGGAGAGAAGGGTGAAGGCAGAAGAGATAGGGGGAAATACAGGATAATAATATAGGTTCATATAGGTTGGCCAAGCTGTTACAACTCCCCTTGACACGCCCTCCCCAGACCCGCCTGACCCGGCGCTGTTCTTCACACTGAGCCGGGCTGAGATCGCGCGCCTCGACACCCGGGTGTACAAGCTGACGCGAGACCTCGAAGTCCTTCACCAGCTGGCTCAACAGCTGATCCCGGACCAGCGGGGGTATCAGGCTCTCTACACAGCCAACCAGATGGTTAATTCCATCACAGCTGGTGATGACAGGTGGGTCATTGGAGCCTCGAGCCCTCTCATGCTCTTACTGCCTTAGTCCTATTTATTCAGTTGTCGTCCTTTACTTTCCATTCTTACCTGTTTCTCCTTCTCTTGAAACAATGTTCAAGGCTTGTGTCTCAGTCCCCTGCTGGAGAGGCCAGACCTAATGATCTGAACATAGTTACAACCACTCATCCTCCTGTTTAGATATTAGTTTCTGTAACTATGTGCATCATAGTACGAATATTGATGTACTAAGCAATTAGATAGTATAATTTTGCACTATTCACCTTATAGAGTCCGAAAAATGAAGCTAAACAAACAAATATTCCTAGGCCTAGTATAGCACACATACGTACTATATTAGGCCTCAAATAGCGTGTATTAGGCCTAGGGAGGTTAAGCTAGTTTAGTTTGTCTTTACCACATATAGAAAATCTTTTCCGGTTTGTCCAAATTCAATAGCACCAATTTCTACTTTCTAATTGCGTTGTAGGTCGGTATATGTACTATGTTCCTCAGGGTTACTATAAGTACTACGAAACACAGGAGGAAGGGCTGGATACACCTACAACCTTTGCTTCATGTACACATGGTGAAGGCAGCGCTCCCTCACACCATCACTACACGCCCAGCTCTTGTTGTGAGCCTCACCATCAGTGCTGCCTGATAGCCAGTCGTCTCCATCTTGCTTGACACAAACATGTTAATATCTCCAACCATATATAATTTCCAGTTAATCAGAAGGCTATCATCTTGTCCTTATATCCCAGCCCTTAATCTGTCCTCATATCCCAGCCTTTATAGTCTGTCCTCATATCCCAGCCCTTAATCTGTCCTCATATCCCAGCCCTTAGTCTGTCCTCATATCTCAGCTCATACTCCTTGTATCCCAGCTCCTAGTAAGTCGCCACATCACTTCCTAGTTTTACAGTCATACTAGTTAAGTGTTTACTTCTGATAACTGCCTTACCTTCTCACCCAACATGGCGATCTTCTGTGTGGATGGCTCAGCGGGGCTAGCGATCTAGCCGACCAATACCTGGCCAAGGGTAACGGGGCGCGGGCCCACACCTTGGCCGCGATAGGCAACTGTCACATCGACTCGGCATGGCTCTGGCCTTACTCTGAGACCAAGAGGAAGGTCGCTCGAAGCTTCTCCTCTCAGCTCAAACTCATGGACGACTACCCAGAGTTCATCTTCGTGGCTTCACAGGTGAGTGGGACGCCAGGCAAGTGTCTGTGAGACCGGGCAGGTGCCCGCGAGGTCAGGCAGGCGCCCGCGAGGCCAGGCAGGCGCCCGCGAGGCCAGCCAGGCGCTCGCGAGGCCAGGCAGGCGCCCGCGAGGCCAGGCAGGCGCCCGCGAGGCCAGCCAGGCGCCCGCGAGGCCAGGCAGGCGCCCGCGTGGCCAGGCAGGCGCCCGCGAGGTCAGGCATTCGCCCGCGAGGCCAGGCAGGCGCCCGCGAGGCCAGGCAGGCGCCCGCGAGGCCAGGCAGGCGCCCGCGAGGCCAGCCAGGCGCCCGCGAGGCCAGGCAGACCTCGTAGAGGTGAGGTTAGGCAGAGGTGAGGTTAGGCAGAGGTGAGGTTAGGGAGAAGTGAAATTAGACAGAGGTTAGATTAGGTAGACAAAAAAAATAGTTATGACAAATCCCAAATGTTGAGTGGTATAACTGCAGCAGAAAACAAGGTCAGGATTCAGCAAGCATTTACACAACCACTCACGAAACATGTACATCTTCCCCTCAATCACAGCGGCTTTGTATACACATTAAACAACTTATGAACGAAGCACTACAAAGTTGTCAATTACACAATAACATTAGGTTGTGAAGCTTCCAAGCCCGTAAACTATTTAATAAATGTAAACAAAACCGCAAATGACTTGCATGATGTACAGGTTTCGTAAATGTTTGATGACTCGTAGCCCGGGGTAAGGTAGGCAGAGAGTACAGGAAAATACTACTCGTACAGGCCCAGCAGTGGGCGTGGTGCAAGCAGTACTATCCCGAGTTGTTCGAGAGGGTGAAGGCGAGAGTGGCGGAGGGAAGGTTCCTGCCCGTGGGCAGCACCTGGGTGGAGATGGATGGCAACATCCCCAGCGGCGAGTCCTTCGTCAGGCAGTTCCTCCACGGCCAGCGCTTCTACCAGCAGGAACTCGGCATCACCTGTAAGGAGTTTTGGCTTCCTGATACCTTCGGCTACTCTGCTCAGATCCCAGCTCTCATGAAGGTCAGTGCCACAACTTGGGTATGAGAACGTCCACACCTTTCATGTTGCCTTAGATATACAGTGTGACGGTGCTGGCGTGAGTGTGACGGTGCTGGCGTGAGTGTGACGGTGCTGGCGTGAGTGTGACGGTGCTGGCGTGAGTGTGACGGTGCTGGCGTGAGTGTGACGGTGCTGGCGTGAGTGTGACTGTCCCACATAGCATCTACGGTATGAAATCGTTCAGTAACCTTAATTACATACAACAGTTTGAAAATCTAATTGACGAGTAGATGATAAGATAGTCAGTATAAGGGGAGACAGAGAAGGGAGACAGGGAGAGGGAGATGTTAGACAGAACGGCTGACAGACCGTAAAATAACATAATGTGTGGTAGACATGAAGCCACAACAAGCAGCAGGGAAGCAAGGTCGTGATTTGTGGTTGATTCAGAGAGGTGAAATTGAACGGAGTGGTTGAGGGGGTGGTAGAGGAAGGTTGTGTAATATGTGGATGTGTTGTTGCAGCACGTGGGGCTGACCAGGTTCCTCACCCAGAAGCTCAGCTGGAACACCGTCAACAAGTTCCCTCACCACAACTTCGTGTGGGAGGGTATTGACGGCACGCCCGTCCTCGCTCACTTCCCTCCCGGTGAATCCTACGGCATGTCTGTCAAGTGAGTCCCTCCGTCATGCCTGGTAACACTGACCCCGTGTCCTAGTCCTCTACACCACACCTGGTAACATTGTCCCCGTGTCCTACCCCTGCATGTCACACCTGGTAACACTGTCCCCGTGTCACAGGGTGGAGGAGGCGGCGCACACCGTGGACAACTTGCAGGACAAGGGACGTGTCTCCATCTCAGCATTCCTCTTCGGCTACGGGGACGGGGGCGGCGGCCCCACCCAGGATATGCTGGAAAGGACACGCCGGCTCAAGGACACGGACGGCTGCCCCAAGTATGTCCAAACTTCGGATACTTTGCGGAAAAGTTCTTTGGAACCTCATGTTATGTCATTAGAACTTGCGGGAGGAAGGTGTGGGTAGTAAATAAAAGGCAGGGTTGTCTGATGGGAAAGTGGAGGAGAAATAGATGGGAGAGGGAGCAGTGAGAAGAACAGAAAGAAGGGGGGGAGGGAAGGGCGAGGTATGGAGGGAGAGAGTGATAGATAGGGGGGAAAGAGGTAAAGGGAGGAGAGAGGGTGTTATAAGGGAAGAGAGTGGGAGACTGGAAGAAAATGAGACCTGCCAGGTACCCCATATATTGTTTTATATAATAGTTACCACTTTAAAACTTGGTTATTAAGGTTTTTGGCTGAACACACTCAAAGTTATATCTAAACCATTCCACACCAAGTGCTCAAGCTCCAGCCTCCGTTATCCCAGGATGCAAATGATGACCCCGGACGAGTTCTTCGGCCAGTTGGAGAAAGAGCAGCACAACCTGTGCAGGTGGGTCGGCGAGCTCTTCCTGGAGCGCCACAACGGCACCTACACCACACAGGCGGCCATGAAGAGGCTGTGTCGTCAAGCAGAGTTTCGTCTGAGAGATGCCGAGTTCCTCCTGACGCAGGCCGTGGCGGTCCTGGGCATCAGCACCACCTCTCTACTCCTGAAGCAGTACGTGTAGACTTGGAGAGTTGTATAGCGGTGAGGAGGCGTTGATGTAGTGCAGGGGTGGTTGATGTAGTGAGCTGGGGTATTGATGTAGTGCAGGGGTGGGTGATGTAGTACAGGGGTGGTTGATGTAGAGAACTGGGGCGTTGATTTAGTGCAGGGATGCTTGATGTAGAGAATTGGGGCGTTGGTGTAGTGCAAGGGTGGTTGATGTAGAGCTGGGGCGTTGATTTAGTGCAGGGGTGGTTGATATAGAGAGCTGAGGCGTTGTTGTAGTGCAGGGGTAGTTAATGTAGAGCTGGGGGCGTTGATTTAGTGCAGGGAATGATGATGTATAGAGCTGTAGAGAGCTCTACATCAGAGCGTTGATGTAGAGAGCACATGTAGGGTTTCAAGGCTATGTTAGTCGTCAACATAGGAGAGTGTAGATGCATCAGACGTCAAGGCAGAAGGGTGTAGTTACTGCTGACCACCGGCAGGAGAGAGAGAGAGAGAGAGAGAGAGAGAGAGAGAGAGAGAGAGAGAGAGAGAGAGAGAGAGAGAGAGAGAGAGAGAGAGAGAGAGAGAGAGAGAGAGAGAGAGAGAGAGAGAGAGAGCGAGTGAGAGGCAGGTCTCAGTGTAATACCTGCCGCCACAGGAGCCTGGAGACGCTGGAGGGGGCCTGGAAGAAGGTGATGCTCAACCAGTTCCACGACGTCCTCCCAGGCTCGGGAATTGCTCTCATCTACCCGGAAGCGGAGAGGCTGTACCAGGAGGCCATGGAGGCCGCCCTCGCCGTCTGGAACGCTGCCGCTGACGCCATCTTCGGTGAGTGCGTTCTGCGGCCATGTTATATTGTGGCCATGTTGTACTGTGACCATGCTATACTATGTCCATGTTAATGTGGCCAAGTTATACTGTGGCCATGTCACCACGGAGAGAGGAGGTGACTCAACCCATGTGTGTGGCCATGACAGGCAGTGACGGGGAGAAGACGCAGGTGGCCCTCAACACGCTGCAGTGGGCCCGGACGGAGGTGGTGAAGGTGGCGTCGTCGACGGCGCAGAAGGGGGCACAGCGAGCCGAGGACGGCCTCCAGTATGCCCTGGTGGCGGCCCCGCCCATGGGTAGTGCCCCTGCCCAAGCCATCGTGCCCTCCACTCCAGTCACTGTAGGTCAGTACCTGTCACACAGTACACATAGTACCATTACAACCCATGACTTATATATGTCTACTTCGATGTTCAGTAAGTTCAACGGTGGTGTTCATAGTTCAAGAGAAATCATCGTTGAACGCTGCCTTGGGAAAATCTAAGATATGAAGCCACACAGGTTACGTAAAATAGAACATGGGCTACTGCCAGGATAGTATAGTAATAGACCACACTAGCAGAGAGAACACTGATAGACCACACTAGCAGAGAGAACACTGATAGACCACACTAGCAGAGAGAACACTGATAGACCACACTAGCAGAGGGAACACTGATAGACCACACTAGCAGAGGGAACACTGATAGACCACACTAGCAGAGAGAACACTGATAGACCACACTAGCAGAGAGAACACTGATAGACCACACTAGCAGAGAGAACACTGACAGACCACACTAGCAGAGAGAACACTGATAGACCACACTAGCAGAGGGAACACTGATAGACCACACTAGCAGAGGGAACACTGATAGACCACACTAGCAGAGGGAACACTGATAGACCACACTAGCAGAGAGAACACTGATAGACCACACTAGCAGAGAGAACACTGACAGACCACACTAGCAGAGAGAACACTGACAGACCACACTAGCAGAGGGAACACTGATAGACCACACTAGCAGAGAGAACACTGATAGACCACACTAGCAGAGGGAACACTGATAGACCACACTAGCAGAGAGAACACTGATAGACCACACTAGCAGAGAGAACACTGATAGACCACACTAGCAGAGGGAACACTGATAGACCACACTAGCAGAGAGAACACTGATAGACCACACTAGCAGAGAGAGAACACTGATAGACCACACTAGCAGAGAGAGAGAACACGGAGAACAACTGGACTGTGATCGACGGTGTTCAACACCTGGCCGGCCGCTGTGAGAGGAGGCGAGTGACTATGGTCATGGGAAGCGTCACAACCTTCGCTTCCTTCGCTGTAAACAAAACAATATAACAGTATTATACAGGAAGAATAAATGACCTTAAATGACGAAACCTGTACATCTATCCTCAATCATGGTGGGTTTGTTAACATCTGTTAAACAGTTAATGGGCTGCGAAGTACCTCGAGACTGTTTATAACAATATCAAACTAGAGTTGTGAAATTTCAAGGCTATAAAACATTGAGACAAATGTAAAGAAAACCGCCATGAGTCAAGAAAGATATGCAGGTTGCGTAATTGGCTGCGTAAATGCTTGGTGTATGGTGGCCCAGGTAATATGACTTGTCTCTCTCCCCCTTGATGTGGCGTGACAGAGGTGGTGGACGGGGTGGTGGTGGTGGACAACGGCCTCCTGAGGGCCGAGATCAACTCCTGGGGTCAGGTCATCAGCCTCGTGGTCGCTGGCGACGATAGGGACGTCTTCAGGAAAGCGGACGGTACCCAGCTGGCGGGGAACCAGTTGGTGCTCTTTGACGACCAACCCATCTACTGGGACGCTTGGGACGTTATGGACTACCACCTGGAGACACCCACAGTTCTTAATGTTGAGGGGGTATGTCTTGTACACCCACAGTTCTTAATGTTGAGGGGGTATGTCTTGTACACCCACAGTTCTTAATGTTGAGGGGGTATGTCTTGTACACCCACAGTTCTTAATGTTGAGGGGGTATGTCTTGTACACCCACAGTTCTTAATGTTGAGGGGGTATGTCTTGTACACCCACAGTTCTTAATGTTGAGGGGATATGTCTTGTACACCCACAGTTCTTAATGTTGAGGGGGTATGTCTTGTACACCCACAGTTCTTAATGTTGAGGGGATATGTCTTGTACACCCACAGTTCTTAATGTTGAGGGGGTATGTCTTGTACACCCACAGTTCTTAATGTTGAGGGGGTATGTCTTGTACACCCACAGTTCTTAATGTTGAGGGGGTATGTCTTGTACACCCACAGTTCTTAATGTTGAGGGGGTATGTCTTGTACACCCACAGTTCTTAATGTTGAGGGGGTATGTCTTGTACACCCACAGTTCTTAATGTTGAGGGGGTATGTCTTGTACACCCACAGTTCTTAATGTTGAGGGGATATGTCTTGTACACCCACAGTTCTTAATGTTGAGGGGGTATGTCTTGTACACCCACAGTTCTTAATGTTGAGGGGGTATGTCTTGTACACCCACAGTTCTTAATGTTGAGGGGGTATGTCTTGTACACCCACAGTTCTTAATGTTGAGGGGGTATGTCTTGTACACCCACAGTTCTTAATGTTGAGGGGATATGTCTTGTACACCCACAGTTCTTAATGTTGAGGGGGTATGTCTTGTACACCCACAGTTCTTAATGTTGAGGGGATATGTCTTGTACACCCACAGTTCTTAATGTTGAGGGGGTATGTCTTGTACACCCACAGTTCTTAATGTTGAGGGGGTATGTCTTGTACACCCACAGTTCTTAATGTTGAGGGGGTATGTCTTGTACACCCACAGTTCTTAATGTTCAGTTGAGAAAGATACGAACCGCTTCCCGTCTCTCCCACAGTCAGGATACGCAGTGACGCCAGTGACAGTGGTGGAGTCTGGTCCTGTGATGGCGAGGCTTCGTTGGGGGATCACCATCAGTCCAAACTCCTCCCTCACCCAGGACATTGAGCTTGCCGCCGCCTCCCCCTACCTCACCTGCAGTACCTCCGTCACCTGGGGCGAGAACAGAAAGTTCCTGAAAGCCGTCTTCGACACCAACATTCGCGCGCAAAACGCCAGCTTCGACATCCAGTTCGGTCACCTGCAGCGCCCCACACACGTCAACACATCCTGGGACTCCGCCAGATATGAAGTCTGCGGACACAAGTGAGTTGCCTTCAGCGCCCTCTCCCTCAGCTCCCGTGCTTCTCTCTCTCTCTTCAGCTCGCACGTACATCGAGGCTGCTCGTCATCAAAGATGAGTTGGTTACTCATCCACACTCAGGCTTCAAGACGGTTGTATGTTTTAAATTCACGTATATAATTTTTAATTTTCACACCTGGTATACGAATCAACATCACACAGGAAGAATGTTCACCACACCAGGTAGATGGTTCATTACAATCTCCCAGCGGATATCAAGGGTTGTGTTATAACCCCTCCCACCTCCCTCCTCTTGTTTGTTTTACTCTGAGAGAATTTGTATCAACCTGTTATCCTGGTAGGTTTATTACTGGTTGTGTGTGTTTGTGCAGATGGGCGGATCTGTCTGAGCCAGACTGGGGGATGGCTCTCCTCAACGACAGCAAGTATGGCTGGATGGCTCGCGGCCACCAGCTCTCCCTCTCTCTGCTCCGCTCACCCAAGGCTCCGGATGACACTGCAGACATGCGCCACCATACCTTCCAGTACGCCATCCTGCCCCACACAGGTGAGCAACCATGCCTTCCAGTAGGTGATTTAGAAATGTTAAACATTCTCAATAATTTGCATGAAGTACTGAGTGTATTCGGGCCGTAAAAGATCGTTGCACTTTCTCCAAGTCAGGCATCATTCCAGCTTTGAACGAGGCTGTTATTGTTTAAGAATATTCAACCCGAAAGAGAACCACTATCTTATTATTACTCTTCCTTCTGCTGGGGTCGTACTTGCCCTTGATGGGGTGGTTCTTCACCTGCCCCGACCACGGCGGTCTACGGGTTTGGGGTCCCTGTGCCTTCTTTTACCAGCTTCTAGGTAAACTCCGGAGCTGGAGCCCCCTGGGGCAGTTCGTTGTTGCCTTCAATCTCGTTCTGATTGAAGGTAACTCATTGCCTTCAATCTCATTCAGAGACTGAGTTGCTCGAAGGCAACTCATTGCCTTCAATCATCTCCGGCCCCGACCACGGCGGTCTCCGGGGTTGGAGGTCCTTGTGCCCTTTTTCACCAACTTCGAGGTCATCCCAGGAACTCACAGTTCCTATGACGGCGCTGGAACCAGTCGTATTGGCGTTTGCCTTTCCATTGGAGCCTTTCGGCGCCGTGGAAAGGGTGGACTTGCTGCTTGGGTAACAGCTTCTTCCCTGTATCAACCTACCCTGGCTTTGCGCCCTGGAGAAGCCACTCCAGACGGACAACCAGAGCGCAACTCCATAGTCTCCTGAGACTGATGGATGCCTATTACTACCACTACTCTCAAATATTGTATATTGTTTTTCTTTGTATAGTGTGATTTGACTATTTGATATGTGGTTACATTTTTATATTTTCGTTTTTACCATAGTGCAGACGCTGGAACTTTTCGTTGAACATTGTATTATTTTCTGTGGCCCATCTGAAGGCATGATTTACGTCAGTTCGAAGGTTTGCTGTGTCCTCTATATTGTTTACCTCATCAAGATCCTAGTGTCATCTGCAGACGATGATGCGGTACTCTAGTTTGTGTCCTTGTCTATGTACAATATGAGAATGAGAAAAGGTACTGGAGCAAGCATAGTACCCTGGGGGGAACTGAGCATTACAAGGAGGATCATTCGGATTTTATTTGTTGACTATTACTCTTTGGGTTCTGTCGTTAGGAAATTACAGATCTTTTATTGTACTTCCAGGAATACGGGGCCGTTGCGCAGTGCGCGGGCATTTTGTCTAGGGCTACTTCATAGTCCAGGTGGGGAAGGGGGGAGGGTCGTATGCGGTTAAGACAGTGACAAATTATCCTTTAATATAATATATTATCATTTTGTATCATACTGCTCCTCTTCCCTGCCATACTGACTTTGTTATCAATGTGCATTGTTCCGATCTATCATTCGCCATCACAACATTATTCGAGCCGCCTTCTTATCCTTAATGATACTTCGTCTTCACTATTCTACCCTTTATTCTTACCGTTCCATCTCCCTCCATCCCGCTAGTCTTCCTCTCTCAGCTCCTCTATCCTCTCCCCTGCAACACTGTACCAACCATCCTATTCTCCATCCCGGACAGGAACGCTGCAGGAGGCTGAGGTGGTCAGGCGAGGGTACGAATTCAACAACCCTCTGACTCTGCTCCAGGTGCCCCAGGACAGGTGAGTCCCCCCCCTCTGACTCTGCTCCAGGTGCCCCAGGACAGGTGAGTCCCCCGCCCTGACTCTCCTACAGGTGCCCCAGGACAGGTGAGTCCCCCCCCTCTGACTCTGCTCCAGGTGCCTCAGGACAGGTGAGTCCCCCCCCCTTGACTCTCCTACAGGTGCCCCAGGACAGGTGAGTCCCCCCCCTCTGACTCTGCTCCAGGTGCCTCAGGACAGGTGAGTCCCCCCCCCCTGACTCTCCTACAGGTGCCTCAGGTCAGGTGAGTCCCCCCCCTGACTCTGCTCCAGGTGCCCCAGGACAGGTGAGTCCCCCCCCCCCGACTCTCCTACAGGTGCCTCAGGTCAGGTAAGGTTAGGCCTGATAAAGACAGGTAAGGTGGCGCCTGATAAAGACAGGTAAGGTGGCGCCTGATAAAGACAGGTAAGGTGGCGCCTGATAAAGACAGGTAAGGTGGCGCCTGATAAAGACAGGTAAGGTGGCGCCTGATAAATAACCATTCCCCAATTGTATATTACCGCCCATTATGTGTTCACGGCTCTTATTCACCTCATAATAAACCATTATGGGTCCCTGTGGCACAGTAGTGTACGTCCTCGGCTCGCAACCGAGAGACCCGGGGTTCAGTTCCCGGGCGGGACAGAAACGGTTGGGCACGTTTTCTTCCTCCTGATGCCTTTGTTCACCTAGCAGTAAATACGTACCCCGGGAATCAGTAATTGGCTGTCCCCCGACAACGGGAATTATTATCACAATAAAAATAATAATTATTATTTATTACTATTATCATCATTGTTATTATATAACATGGTTCTAATATGGTTCTTAAACACTGGCACCTCAATGTGTACCACTGATCACTACCCCGCGTTGGCTGGTGCGGTGTACCGTTGTACCGCCAGGGCGGAGTGGTCTGCGGTGAGCGTGGAGGGTACCGGGGCCGTGGTACACACCGTCAAGCCCGCCGAGGACGGTACAGGTGATGTCATCCTGCGCCTCTATGAGAGCAACGGGGCGAAGACCAAGATAACGTGAGTACTGCTTTCTCTCTCTCACTATGGTACCTCCCTGTGTCTCATCTCTCACTGGTACCTCCTTGTGTCTCATCTCTCACTGCTACCTCCCTGTGTCTCATCTCTCACTGCTACCTCCCTGTGTCTCATCTCTCACTGCTACCTCCCTGTGTCTCATCTCTCACTGGTACCTCCCTGTGTCTCATCTCTCACTGCTACCTCCCTGTGTTTCATCTCTCACTGGTACCTCCCTGTGTCTCATCTCTCACTGCTACCTCCCTGTGTTTCATCTCTCACTGGTACCTCCTTGTGTCTCATCTCTCACTGCTACCTCCCTGTGTCTCATCTCTCACTGCTACCTCCCTGTGTCTCATCCTTCTCTCAGTAGTACCTCATTGTCTCATCTCTGTACTACCACTAAATCCATGTCTCACATCAGCGCCTCCATTCCGTATCTCTTAAATTATATAATTTCTTTGCTGCTGCTTCCCTGTATTCTGTCCACATGTTAAGAATAATTTTAAACAAATGTCAACTATTAATAACTAGTTCAAAATGTAATTGTTTAGCTTAAAGATCGTTGTAGAGCAGCTGGTGAGCCCATTATGTGACAGTCAGGCCCCGCCCACACGCGCAGTACGGCAGCCAAAATATAATCATTAAACTGACCTCAGTTACTAAGATTGTTAATATAACGCGAAATTTAGTATTAGCGTATATTTCTTCATACATAATGATATGCAACCCAGAATCTTAGCCAAGTGTCTCAGGTTGGTGATGCTGTAGGTGGTGGTGGGTGCACGTGACCTAGTGGCTACGTTCTTCAAAAAATATATATATATTTCGTAATGAATGGTGGTGTGTTTCTGCCCACAGGCTGAAGTTGTGGTGGCGGGTGTCGTCAGTGGCGGAGTGTGACGGGCTGGAGGTGGGCGGGGCAGCCCTGCCCTTCACCCTGTCTGACGGAGTGACCACCATTCCTCTCTCCCTGGCTCCCTTCACCATTCGCGCCCTCAGGCTCTCCCTGCTGGCCTAGTCCTCAGGCTCTCCCTGCTGGCCTAGTGCTGGCCCCAGGGCCCTAGTCTGGTGCTAAAGATAGGGCGGACCCACCACATAAAAAAATCACCGGACGACACTACTTAATCCTTTTACATTTGTATTCTGATTTAAAATTAAAACACAATGAACATAGTTTTAAAAGAAGGGCATACCTGCTATTTTGTATGTCAAATCAGAACTCAATAACAAAATTTTACACTAGGCTAATAAATCTATATTATATTTAAAATCAAACATATTATGAATTATGTATATGTGTGTTATTTACTTATTTGTTAATTTTAAACGTAAAATAACAAGAAAATGCAGCAATGTGAAGATGTATGAAGCGACTACAACAGTCTCTGGTGTTGGCTTCATTCTTGTAAAGTAATTAATCACTTCATTATAATCGGTAACAACGGTGAGGGACGGTAGCCCCGGACGACCTGTCGTCTCCCACTGTAGACGGACGGCAGCACTGTGTGTTACCGTCTCCCACTGTAGACGGACGGCAGCACTGTGTGTTACCGTCTCCCACTGTAGACGGACGGCAGCACTGTGTGTTACCGTCTCCCACTGTAGACGGACGGCAGCACTGTGTGTTACCGTCTCCCAATGTAGACGGACGGCAGCACTGTGTGTTACCGTCTCCCACTGTAGACGGACGGCTGCACTGTGTGTGTTACCGTCTCCCACTGTAGACGGACGGCAGCACTGTGTGTGTCTGTCTTCCACTGTAGACGGACGGCAGCACTGTGTGTGTTACCGTCTCCCACTGTAGACGGACGGCAGCACTGTGTGTTACCGTCTCCCACTGTAGACGGACGGCTGCACTGTGTGTGTTACCGTCTCCCACTGTAGACGGACGGCAGCACTGTGTGTTACCGTCTCCCACTGTAGACGGACGGCTGCACTGTGTGTGTTACCGTCTCCCACTGTAGACGGACGGCAGCACTGTGTGTGTCTGTCTCCCACTGTAGACGGACGGCAGCACTGTGTGTGTTACCGTCTCCCACTGTAGACGGACGGCAGCACTGTGTGTGTGTCCGTCAACATCAATTTGATATTCAAAATTTTTTTTTCTCAAATATAAGATAACATTTTTTCCTACCAGAAGGTACTGAATAGTTATGCCAAACTTAGGTTAGATAGTTAGGGTTTGTTGTCTGTTTTGCATTTGCAGTTCGAGGATGGAGCATTGAGAGACGTGCGATTCGAGCTGAGGACGTGATCGAAGTACTGCTCGAGAAAAGTACATGAGTCATCCAGCCCGTCCTCAGACCAAAACCATTACTATGAGAAACCATACCCCCCTCAAACCGATGGTCTGAAAGTCTATTACGTTTCAAGTAATAATTTACATGTAAACTGGCAAATGAATCTTTCTCGTAAAGAGATTATTCAAAAGTTATAACTTTAACTCTTACAACAATGTAAGAACTCTTTTATATATAAATAAATACAAAATTTAATGATATAAAACGTTAGTTTAAAATATAAAAGTGTATGCTGAAAACTTTTTCTTTAAAGCATTTTCTGTAAACGGGATTTTCGGGTACACTGAAACAGTTTTCAATTGCCATATTTCACATTATAGTCAATAATACATAATTTTAACGTAACGAATCGTGATGAAACTTAACCTAACTAAATCTAGCCATGGATAGTAAGTAGATAATAGCACAAATTATGCAGTCATTCTCAATCCATTCCCTTGAGGGGATCTCCCTGAGTACAGGTTATCATCAGTCAGCACACCCTCATCAACAAACGCCAAATGCTCGTTAATCCATCCGCCAAACCACATTCATGAACGATAAACGGTTTACACACGACTCACAACTGATGACGTCCGATCACTTCTCGAACTGTGCTTCACTGATTACCCGCGCCACTGTAATGCTTCACCCACGTACAGATAATAATAAATAATCACCAGAAACCAATATAATTTTTGTTAAGATATTTGGCAAAACAGAAACCAAAAAGCAACCGGTTTCCTGCTCCAGCGCCTCGGTGTCGCGGTCCAGGGGGAAATACCTCAGGTGAATTGTGTACACACTTCCCAAGATGTTTTTGAACCTCTTGATTCAAAGAGGTTCACATATCAATGATTTACATGTATTTTTATGTGTGTGTGTGTGTATTTTGTAAGGTGCAAAAAACTGTAAAATTAAAAAAAAATGGAGTGTTGAAGGATAAATTCAAGGGGGGGGGAGACCACAAGGTTTTGCCTGAAAACCTTCTCTTCTCTTCTCTGAGACTATGGGTCCTTATGACATTATGTTATTATATAATAACACGGTACATGTTATTATAATGTGGACACTGTCAGTGAAGCTACCTACTTATGGCCAAATGCTGAAAGTCATTATCGAAGCAGATACATTGTATACACAAATTAATGATTAAAAAAATAATATTACATTCAAAATTTATTTTACTGAACCTATATTGACATAAATTCTGTTGAACGAAAATAATGAGCATTATAATAACAATAGATCTTTGGTAGAGTTAGAGTTTACTAAGAACTCTATGGCATGAGGTTCTGAGAACTCTAAGGTATGAGGTTCTGAGAGCTCTAAGATATGAGGTCATAGGTCATCATAACAGACTTACCGTTGTTAAGATACACTTCCACTACGCGGAGAGGCACTTATAAGAGTTAGCAAGGAACCGGTAGAGAAGTTGAGACGTACAGTCACCATGCAGCCTAGTCTCCTCCACCTTTGTGATTGTAGGCTGACTCTCACAGGGATGAGTATGAGCCTGGGGCAGTTGTCAGGACAATCAATGATGCTCGTATTTTGAATAAGAGTCCATAAAAGAACTGAGCCTATATTCTTAATTTTATATTAAGCTGTTAGTCATATATATTTCTCGAGTTGAGAGATTCATTACCTGCAGTTATCTGCCATATTACGGTACTCTATGATGGTTATTTCATGCTGTCTGTACATATATGTTTCTCAGTTCTAAACATACACTAGTGCTTTCTGGCCTTTGAGTGTCAGTAATTGCTTGTCAGTTCCCCTAGTTTCTTAAAATAAGTTGTGTGGTTTGACAATAGAGATTGGCAGGCTCAGATGACATCACAATCATCCATGCCTAAATGATCGGCAAAGCATGATGACCAATAAACTACCACGTAAGATGAGTATGGGGTGCACAATAAACAACCATTCACAGGATGATGAGCATATAGGGTGCACAATGAACTAACACCCACACGATGAGTATGCGGCGAACAATGAACTACCGCTCACACGATGAGTATGCAGTGAATAATGAACTACAGCTCACAGATAGTAATTTTCACTAAATAAACAAAAGGAATATAATTCTGTAAAAAAAATCACAGCAGATATCATCAGTTTTACAAGTTTAGTCAATAATGTTCAATAATAGCAAGACATAGGTTGACATTTAGGAGGCAAAGTAGGTTACATGGAGTTTTTTTTTTTTTTTTTTTTTTTTTTGAGATATATACAAGAGTTGTTACATTCTTGTACAGCCACTAGTACGCGTAGCGTTTCGGGCAAGTCCTTAATCCTATGGTCCCTGGAATACGATCCCCTGCCGCGAAGAATCGTTTTTTCATCCAAGTACACATTTTACTGTTGCGTTAAACAGAGGCTACAGTTAAGGAATTGCGCCCAGTAAATCCTCCCCGGCCAGGATACGAACCCATGACATAGCGCTCGCGGAACGCCAGGCGAGTGTCTTACCACTACACCACGGAGACTGCTATATCTCTTAAACTGATTGTGAGAGAGACAGTCTTTGACGTGATTGGGAAGGTCATTCCACATTTTGGGAACCTTATGGGCAGAACATTTCTACTTTTGTAAGTCACACTCTTATAATATTTCAAATAGATATTCCTGCCCGAAGCGCTATGCGTGTTAGTGGCATTGTAAGGATGTAAAAACATCAATGTTATGTACTCTCACTAACCCAATGTACCTTCTTGTATATATATATTAATAAATTAGATAAATAAATATAAATCGGGTATAAGAGGGTCTTAGTTTACGCGAGTTCCGCCGTCAGACCGACTGCGGGTGTCTGCTGGGTTGAGTGTCCGTCGTGGGACCTGAGCCACTCTCGAGATTGGGCTACAAATAGCGAATTGGGCTACTTTTGAGAGTCCGCGCTCCCAAATTTTTAATTTCGCTACTTGCTACTTTTTGGGCTAATTTAAAAGCCAGCAGATGTGCTAATTTGGGCTATTAAAGTTAAGAATGTACGATTGCGAGTTACACGAAAGTAACTAAGCTATAAATAATTGTAATTAATAATAATTGTAAATAATAATTAATACTAAATAACATTATGTAATAAATTAGTCCCAATTCAATGCAGAGTTTTCTTCCAAGCACATAAACTTGTAAATATAAATACAAGATAATAGATTTTTTTTTTGAGATATATACAAGAGTTGTTACATTCTTGTACAACCACTAGTACGCGTAGCGTTTCGGGCAATTCCCCTGCCGCGAAGAATCGTTTAATATATTTATTTATTTATTTATGCATATACAAGAATGTACATAAGGAATGTGAGGATACAAATATGGTAATTACAGTCTTGTAAAGCCACTAGCACGCGCAGCGTTTCGGGCAGAATATAAATATTTATTTATTTATTTATGTTTGTATTATTATTTATTTATATGTTGTTATATGTTTGTAAGTATACCAGACAAAGTCCATTTAATGGCAGAATTTAGCCATTTTGTGTAAAAACTTTTATATCTCATATTATTAATTATAACAGTAATCGAAAAAAGTCATAGTTTGTATATACAAGAGATGAAACAGAGAGCCATGAGCTAGAGCGATGTGCTGAGTCCATAAGGAGGCCGAGCTTCCAGAAATACCTTCCTGTGATTGGCTGTTGCGGGGAATACCAACACTCTTTTATGAATAAAATTTAAACTAAGAAATAGGTCCTTGTGCACAACAACAAGGTTGTTGTGAAAAAGAACAACAATTTCTGTTTTGCACCTGACAGAAATCTCCATCTAACTGAATAATTTACTCGAATAAGAGGGCAGAGCCGTGTATCATTATTTGTGTCAAGGCAACCCCCAATAATAACGTCTCAAGTTAGGTAGCCAGCCCATTTTTATATGGCATCTGTTATATCCTGCAATATTTAATTATCACTTTATTAACACTTTAAATAATTAACACTTCACTTTTTAGGTAGATTAAAGTTGAAGCAGAATGTCATAAGCAAGGATGGTGTGCTGAATAAAGATGATTTATTAAGTGGATGGAGCCTTTAGCTGATCCCTTCCTGTGATTGGCTGTTGTGTGAATGTCAACAAAGAATATCTACCAATGATATGCCATTTATTATGTACCCCATACCTTTTGTGGGCGGAGCTTGGAACCTCCTACCCGAGCACAACAACCCACCTTATGGGTTGCTGTTTGGCTATTTATAGTGCGTTGGAAAAAAAACAGATGGCGTTAGTTGTATTTTGTGGGGTAATTTGTTATAAGTGTAATTTGATGTCAACAGATGGCGTAAGCTGTATCTTATGGCCACTGTTGACCAGCAAGTTGATAGTGTTCTCTTCTGCCGACAGATGGCATCAGCTGTGTTATTATTACTTCCAAATTCCCTTTAAACACTGATCTACAAATCCCTTGGCTTATGATAAGATTTTATACCATTTATGATAAGTATTAGATAACTGGAGTTCCGCAATAACTTTTATTTATCAACTGTTCAGGATATCATCATATAACGTCTGGTTAGGACGTACTGCTCTCGATTGATGAAGATTAAGCCACCCAAGAGGTGGCACGGGCATGAATAGCCCGTAAATACTGCTCTCGTAATATTATTCAGGGGTGGGGGAACTATCAAGTGAAAGCGCCAAGCCATTACGACTATATAGCACTCGGAAGGGGTCAGGATACGGATTTGGGATGGGACGGTGGAAAGGAATGGTGCCCAACCTCTTGGGCGGTCGGGGATTGAACGCAGACCTGTAGGAAACGAGACCGTCGCTCTACCGTCCAACCCAAGTGGTTATAAGCGTAATATTATTAAACCAACAATTTATGCATATAATAACAGCATTTCACACTAAAAATACTTGGATATATTGAAATTTGGTAGTGAATTCCAATCTAGGAATCTCCTATGACTAAACTGTACTTTTTAATCATTTTTATGTACTTACTACTTATTATTAAATTATTAAGTACTTACTATAATAATTAAATAAATTATTTTATTTAATATTTAAGTTAAATGATAAAATAATTGGTAATAATAAATCATTGTGTAGGGGGACAGGCAGCCAGTGTATATATACATGTAATGCTTATACCAAGGTGCCACAAAGGTGCCAAATTAAAGACTGGGTGCTGCCGGGGCGGGCCCAAGGGCTGCTGGCGGCCCTGGCCAGGCTGAACTTCCACGCCCTTATAATCACCATTGTTTAATAATCTTCACAGAGAGAAACAACTGTAAATATAGGAATAGTTTATTACAACATACACGGTAAAGAAAACAGCTCGGAAACTAAGGAAATAAAGCTGCTGAAAAAAACATTAAAGTCCACTTCAAGTTCAAGTATGTTTATTGAGACAATAAAAAATACATCTCAAGTTCAAGTATGTTTATTGAGATAAGCAAGAAATACATCTCAAAGGGATAGAGTAGCTTAGGCTATTTCTACCCCCCCCCTCTACTTCAAGTCCCTCAAGGGGTGCACAAATTCAGTGAGTACAAATAGACAAATAACATTACAAGAATCCCATTTAACATTGCAGGTTAATATAGTAAGTACAGCATATAATTGTTACACTCTTGGGGCAAAATTCTTGTAGCTCCTAAGTATACTGTCTATCATACCATTATCACACATCCAAACAATTGGATGCGGTACACTATTTATTTCCTTATTTCTATAGTTATCAATAAGTTGACACTCTAATACATAATGTTCTAAGGTGTGGGCGTGCGGCATACTACATAATTTACACTCCTTATCTTTTTCACTGACATCAACACCGTATTGCCAGATATATTTGTATCCTAATCTTAATCTCATGTAAATTGAATCCTTCCAAGTAGACTTTCCTTTACCATAAGTGAAGGACGAATTTGTATTTATTATTGAATAATTCTTAAGTGTGTTACTACTGTCCACCATTGCCATTCTCTTTATCATTTCTTCACCCCTCTTGGATCATCTTGATTCTTGTTTTTATTTGTTTCAAGGTTAACTGACATACAACATCAACAAGAGTTTTTCAGTGGTTCTCTTCGCTATGTCATCAACTACCTCATTCAACAGTATTCCCACATGTGAAGCGATCCACATGAATCTTACTTTATACCCAGTTTTTTTATAATTTCTTAACATTCTCTTTACACTCTATCACAATATTCTGATATACTGGGCGTCTGCTATTTAAAGACTCTAACGCTCCTCTGCTGTCAATAAAGAAGCAAGCATTTTTACCACATTTGACTACTTCCTGTACAATACATCTCAAAGGGATAGAGTAGCTTAGGCTATTTCTACCCCCCCCCCCCTCTACGTCAAGTCCCTCAAGGGGCGCACAAATTCAGTGAGTACAAATACACAAATCACAATACAAGATTCCCATTTAACATAGCAGGTTAAAATAGGAAGCCCAGCATATAAGTGTTACAAGTGAGTTACAAGTTACAAGGGATATATATATATATATATATATATATATATATATATATTATTGAATAATTATATGTTCCATTAAGGAACATATAATCTCTTCCCATAACCAAACCATCGCCAGAGAAATCCTAGTAAACAACACAGAAATCATCGATAGATACAGCGATAGCAGGCGGCTTGACGTTTGCGAGGCACTACACATCAAGAAGTCAACACCAGCAATCAACAGCCAATTATTGCACAACTATATTCTACCCACCTCAAGACTCCGCTCCAATATAGAAGCATCAAGAAATATGGACCAATAGGCTTTCTACAAACACTTCTATTCAATACCCATTGTTTCTGTTCTGTCTTGTGTTGATACTTTTAATACCCTATTAATATCCCCTGTTCTGTCTTGTGTTAATGCCACATCATCCTTCCCACCTCACTCAAATGTAGATATAATATCAGAGAGACGTAAGTTCTAATCAGTTGTGTATTTGTGAAGTCTTTGAAAATGTAATAAGTTTTACGAAACGCGCCCGTGTTGCGTCAGACTAGAAATAAAAATGAATTTTGGAGAAGTGATTTTTGATTTACCTCCAACAGTGAAGCGTAATGTACGAAAGATTGAGAAAATTCGTGTTAGAATTATTAATCTTACTTTTTCGGTCATATTTAATAATATATATATATATATATATATATATATATATATATATATATATATATATATATATATATATATATATATATATATACACATCGTGTAGTGTACTCTATATATCAAAATATATTACTTTGAAACCCATATCATTCACTAAAAAAGATTGGGCTACTTTTATTACAAATCCGCTACTTTTAGAGCGTCAGCTCGCTACTTTCCGCAACTTAGATCTGGCAACCCTGGTGCTCTGCACAACAACACCGGTGAGAGATGTACAGGGTGGGTGTTGTAGCTGTGTGGGGGTACAAGGTGGGTGTTGTAGCTGTGTGGGGGTACAAGGTGGGTGTTGTAGCTGTGTGGGGGTACAAGGTGGGTGTTGTAGCTGTGTGGAGGTACAAGGTGGGTGTTGTAGCTGTGTGGAGGTACAAGGTGGGTGTTGTAGCTGTGTGGAGGTACAAGGTGGGTGTTGTAGCTGTGTGGAGGTACAAGGTGGGTGTTGTAGCTGTGTGGGGGTACAAGGTGGGTGTTGTAGCTGTGTGGAGGTACAAGGTGGGTGTTGTAGCTGTGTGGGGGTACAAGGTGGGTGTTGTAGCTGTGTGGAGGTACAAGGTGGGTGTTGTAGCTGTGTGGAGGTACAAGGTGGGTGTTGTAGCTGTGTGGAGGTACAAGGTGGGTGTTGTAGCTGTGTGGAGGTACAAGGTGGGTGTTGTAGCTGTGTGGGGGTACAAGGTGGGTGTTGTAGCTGTGTGGAGGTACAAGGTGGGTGTTGTAGCTGTGTGGAGGTACAAGGTGGGTGTTGTAGCTGTGTGGAGGTACAAGGTGGGTGTTGTAGCTGTGTGGAGGTACAAGGTGGGTGTTGTAGCTGTGTGGAGGTACAAGGTGGGTGTTGTAGCTGTGTGGAGGTACAAGGTGGGTGTTGTAGCTGTGTGGAGGTACAAGGTGGGTGTTGTAGCTGTGTGGAGGTACAAGGTGGGTGTTGTAGCTGTGTGGGGGTACAAGGTGGGTGTTGTAGGTGTGTGGGGGAACACGGTGGGTGTTTTAGCTGTGTGGAGGTACAAGGTGGGTGTTGTAACTGTGTGGGGGTACAAGGTGGGTGTTGTAGCTGTGTGGGGGTACAAGGTGGGTGTTGTAGCTGTGTGGGGGTACAAGGTGGGTGTTGTAGCTGTGTGGGGGTACAAGGTGGGTGTTGTAGCTGTGTGGGGGTACAAGGTGGGTGTTGTAGCTCTGTGGGGGTACAAGGTGGGTGTTGTAGCTGTGTGGAGGTACAAGGTGGGTGTTGTAGCTGTGTGGGGGTACAAGGTGGGTGTTGTAGCTGTGTGGGGGTACAAGGTGGGTGTTGTAGCTGTGTGGGGGTACAAGGTGGGTGTTGTAGCTGTGTGGGGGTACAAGGTGGGTGTTGTAGCTGTGTGGGGGTACAAGGTGGGTGTTGTAGCTGTGTGGGGGTACAAGGTGGGTGTTGTAGCTGTGTTGGGGTACAAGGTGGGTGTTGTAGCTGTGTGGGGGAACACGGTGGGTGTTGTAGCTGTGTGGGGGTACAAGGTGGGTGTTGTAGCTGTGTGGGGGTACAAGGTGGGTGTTGTAGCTGTGTGGGGGTACAAGGTGGGTGTTGTAGCTGTGTGGAGGTACAAGGTGGGTGTTGTAGCTGTGTGGAGGTACAAGGTGGGTGTTGTAGCTGTGTGGGGGTACAAGGTGGGTGTTGTAGCTGTGTGAGGGGTTGTTCCCTAGCACCAGGTGGGTATTACTGGGATAGTCTCAAAGCCCTCCAAATGTACTCACTAGAAAGACGACAGGAGAGATCAAATAATATACACGTGGAAAATACTGGAGAGCCAGGTCCCAAAACTGCACAGTAAAATAACAACGTACTGGAGTGAACGATATTTAAGAAAATGCAGAATAGAACCAGTGAAGAGCAGAGGTGCCATGGGCACAATCAGAGAACACTGCATAAACATCAGAGGTCCACAGTTGTTCAACATCCTCCCAGCGAGCATAAGAAATATTGCCGGAACAAATGTGGACATCTTCAAAAGAAAACTGGATCGTTTTCTAAAAGAAGTGCCGGACCAACTGGGGTGTGGTGGGTATGTGAGCCTGCAGTCCGCAACAAGCAACAGCCTGGTGGACCAAGCTCTTACAAGTCAAGCCTGGCCTCGGTCCAGGCTTGGGGAGTAGAAGAACTCCCAGAACCTCATCAAGCAGGTTAATTAAGTTGGGTTGGGTAAAATGAAGTAAGGTTAGGTTAGATTGGGTTAGGTAAGGTTAGATTAGGTAAGGTTAGGTAGCTTTTAAAATCCATTGGTTACCCATCATATTTACAATTTGACGGGTATCCGTTCCCTGGCTGGAGGAGGCCGAATACTTCCAGTACCCAGTGTTTGGTTGCTCGTATCTTGGGAACTACTGAGTGTTATGGTCTGATATTAATAACAAGGTAGCAAGGCGTGTGTGTCATGAATTAGTGATATTTTTCAATTTGGAGATTGTATTTTTTTTTTTTTGTCGAATACTAGCAACAAGCAATTGTGGTGTGGGTATCTGACAACATTTTTATAGCCATAATTTGCCTTTCCGTGTCTACCCCCCTGCATGATCTTTGACTCTTGAGAACCATACATTCCTCTTGAAAAATAAAACAGATTACTGTAAATAAATTTTGTCTCCTAGATTTGCAGATAAAAAGTGACATGACATGTGCATTGAATCATGGAAACAGAACAGCATATTTATTCCTAGCAGTTTCCTATTGGATAAAGTTTCATCTTTCAGTGTCTTGTGGAGGACAGTATGTTTGAAGCATTTCTTGTCTTTTTATGTTATGGTGCAGGCTTTAGAATTTTGTCGGCATCTTTGTCTGGAGATCAGTACCAGTGTCTGGACACTGGTGGCTTTACCTTATTCAATTTTGAATTGTGTGGTTTTGAGAAAACCATGCAATTGAACATCATATAATTTTGTGGTATTAACTGATGTAATGGGGGCTTTGTTTATCTGATTATACAGTATATGACCCAGTTAAATGTGTCGGGATAGATATTTAGTACCGAGTCATTATACAATATATTGTTATAATATAGAAAATGCAATACCCTTAAATGTTCATTTAATTTTCAGGCATGTCGTTGAGGATATACAATAAAGGTTTTCGGCGGCTTCTGAACAAGTGGCCAGGGAAGAGAACACTTGGTGTCTACAGGTTCTTGCCCATCTTCTTTGGCTTAGGGGCAGCACTGGAGTTCTCCATGATAAACTGGCATGTTGGAGAAGTCAATTTCTGTGAGTTATCAGGAATATTGATACAGTATTGTGCTACAGTATTATGGGAAACCCCCAGGTCCTCTCACTGTTGCATCTCCATTTTGGACCCATACTTTTGTTTGAATGTAGCTAAAAAAAAAAAATATATATATTTTTATCTTTTTTGAAACCTCAATTAATTTTTACTTCATGAACAAAAAAAAAATTAGTAAATATTCTAATAAAAAAATGTTTAGTTAATATCAGGTTGTAATTGTTCCTAAGACAGAATGTCATTCTAAGTATAATCAGTAACAATAATTACCATAAAAATAATTAAGACTTTTTTTTATGCACTATTAAAAGTATAATACTGTAGTTTGAGTTCTACAAAATGACTCTAGTACCTCATTAAGAGGCAGTATATATTGTAAATATATAGAATATCATCGCCAACATAATAAGTCAGTCTACTTTCTAAAGAATTTTATGTATTTTAGTAGCTATATGGAACTAATATGAATTCTGCTCCATTTTTCTTACATTCAATCGAGTGGATACTATAATATTCATTAATGTGTTAACAACTTGTGGTCATGAACCCTAAACTAATTAATTACAAATAAATGTGATGATATACTGTTCATGTTTAAGATCAACTTAGCCTAAAACCCTATGCTGGAGATGGGCTTTTTTGTGTCATTTTACTTTGATACAGAAATGGTGGTTTTTAATTTAATAGGTGATTTCAGGAGACTAATGCTGCCAGGATATGAGTAACTTTACCAAAATTGCCAATTTTTGTCATTACTGGATTGGTTCATATTTGAATAGGATGCCAACCCTAATCAGGTTTCATCAGATCCAGTAGATACAAGTTGATCATTGTGTTTCATGTATATTTTTCACGAACCAACTACTATTGCCTTGCAGAGGTAAAGAGTTATCACTGGTGGTGCTGTAATCAGTTTTTATTTGCCTCAAATTTGTAATGAAGTGACAAGGTAGCAATATACTGTAATTACATTACTTTAGCCAACTTTATGGTATGTACATCATAATAAGATGGGCAAGTAAGGGGGGAAGGAATTATCAGGGTAAAGTGCCAAACCATTATGACTATATAGCACTTGGAAGGGGTCAGGATAAGGATTTAGAATAGGATGGGGGAAAGGAATGCTGTCCAATGGTGGGGGTTGAACAGCGACCTGCATGAAGTGAGACCGTCACTCTACCATCCAGGCTGGACAATTATATGCAAATAAGAGACATGCAGGTAGAAGTTACTACTGCAAATGTAAGGGTCCCATTAGTAGTCGTGTTTGTTCTCGACTCGGTTGAGAATTCTGGTCAGGACAGAAATGGTTGGACACGTTTCCCATCACCTAATGCCCCTGTCCACGTAGTAAATAGGTACCCAGGAGTTAGTCAACTTGTTGTGGGTTTGCATCCTGGGAAGGGATCTTGATATAAGCCTAACATGTAGTATATGTATAAATTGCCTGCCTGACACCAGTGCAATGAATTATGATAAATTATTATTATTATTTATAAAATGACACCATACACTAATGTGTAGACGCAACATTTACCTACATATGATTTACATTGTGGCTGAACCTGAGGGATGAACCTCAATCATTGGTATTCACCAGGTAGTCATATCTGTCTGTAAAGGAATTTTGTTGCTTGAATTTTTTATAGAATAGTTGGAACTTCCCAACTTGGGATTGTGACCCCTTCATCCGCCATTGATCAGAGGACCAGGAAAATTTTAATCGTCTATGAAAAATGAGTGATGAAGAGGTTGGCTTTGTCAGGCAGTTGACTCGCCTCCTCCAAGTGTTATTGTTGTGTTCGTGCTTTGGTAGCCTTCGTCTTCCATGTTTTCTGAGTTATAGTGCTGCAGATGAGGACTTCACTAATGTAATGGCAATTCCAAAAATTCTGAAAAATAATTATAAAATAAATTTCAGTCTTTTAGCTCTTCAAGGTGTGGATATATATGATTGGTTGATTGGTGTTGATATGTAAAATTTACCAAGTGAAAAAATAAATGATTATATACCTTGGCATAGGAAAATTTAGGACATAAAACTAGATCTGGAGATGGATGATCAGGGGATGAAATGTCCTTCGATCTGCAAAGTTTTTTGTCATTGGCAGAGTTAGCAGATAGGTGTTGCAACAGTGATATGTGGAGCAGGTTCTCTTCATAGCACAATGTGTGAGGTTAGGGACACATGAAAGGACTATAGATTTAGTGGGTCCGTCTAATTACCACAAGCTACACAAGCTTCACAAAGCTTCAGAAAGCTTCCTGGCAATACGTTAGTAATGAATAAATATGATATGTTAGGTTAGGCTGACCTAACCTAAACTAACCTAACCTAACCTAACCTAACCTAACTTAACCAAACCAAACCTAACCAAACCTAACCTAACCTAACCTAACCGACGCTTGGATCGTCGACTTTATTTGGCGTCACCAGTTCTTTATTTTCGTCTAATTTCTTAATAAAAATATACTTTTTCAGATTAAAATTATGTTTTCTCGTGTTGTACATTCAGCACCAACATTATAATGAGTAAATATATCATATTTATTCATTACTAACATAAGCTTTCTGAAGCTTTGTGAAGCTTGTGTAGCTTGTGGTAATTAGACGGACCGGATTTAGTATTTTGTCATGCCTTCTTAATTGGATACAGGTAATTAGCCCTCAGTTCTCTGCAAATAATAAGTGTTTTTTCCCCAGTTCATTACAGTTATTCTTTCCTTATCTGAGTGAGCACAGTAGTTGCAGAAAACTTTGAGACTGTTTATAGTTTGTGTATTATCTATACTGGGGGGCTTCCTAAACTATTCCCTGGTGTCCCTGTAGTCTTTGTCAGATTTGGCTGTTCTTAGGCTTAACATGCTTTTTGGTGAGCTATGTTATACAGTAATAAAATATGCTGCATTATGCAGTTATGACTTGCATGGAAATTTTGTATGTTTACAATGGGGGATTTATTTGATATGTCATCACAAAGTAAGGCAACTTCTCTGTTTTCATATACTGTAGTTGATATTTTTTGCACTTCATAGACTTTTGTAAAGATAATTAACTTCAGCATAGTATATATAATCAATTGCAGTTTAATTATCTATTTGCATTTGTTTTGCCAGATCGTACGTACAAAAAGCGACAAGCGGAAAAACTGGCTGTTGAGGAACTTCGAAACATTGAACTAAGGACCTAAGATCAATACTGTGTATGTGCAAGTTATTTATTCAAGTATTAGAAACATTGATTTTTCTACAAACTGTGAAAGACAGTACTCTTCAAAAATTATTTATACAGTACAATAGGATACTGTACATTAAGTGCAGATTGGCATAAATTCAGGAAACCAAAATGCCAGCAGGAGTGTCATGGGGTATGTACCTACGTTTCAGCTGTGCAGCTCTACTCTCAATGATGGCCGGAGCTCAGGTTGTCCATAGCCTGTACCACCCTTTAGCAGACCTGGATGACCTAGTCAAAGTACAGAAAGACAAGTTAATTGCTGAAATGAAGAGTGACCAGGAATCTTGTAAAGAGTTATTAAACGAGGGACCCAACGTTGGCACATGATGGGAGAGCAGTGTTAACTGTGTGTGTGTGTGTGTGTGTGTGTGTGTGTACAGTATGTATATATATGTATACATATGTTGCCCCTAATAGCCAGAACCACAGTGCTAGATCTGGTAAGCAATGACTGACTTAACAACCAGAGTAATGTTTGTATATTTTCAAATTTATTATTTAAAATTAGTTCACCCCTAATAATATTGATATTGACTTCATGAATTACTTACTCTTTTTAATGTATAGTTTTATCTATGTCAGGCAATATTGAGGAATAATGCTCATATTTAGTATATCAGGTTGCCAAGTTCTTTAAAATTTAAACATTTGCTTTTTGTTCATTAAATTAAATGTTTATTAATTCACAAGTAAAATCCAAAATAAAATAAAATTAAAAAAAAAAAAATATATATATATATATATATATATATATATATATATATATATATATATATATATATATATATATATATATATATATATATAATGTGTTGTTAATAATGGAGTACAGTACTCTGATAAAATGTTAGATATCTTGATTTTCATTTTATTTACCAAACTCTACAATCCTCTAATTACAATTTAAAGTTGGAGTATCCATTACGCTGAACATGCAACTGCTAACTGATAATAAATTCTGCAATTCTGCATTCATTAATGAGGGGAATGATAAATTGTCATATGAATAAAATAAACCTGAATTTCCAAAATATCGAATTTAGAAGAAAGTAGCCATCATGAAATTTTTTATCAGCATAATAGTAACTGTTTCAAGCTCGAAAATCATAAAATTCAAATGGCCAGCTGGGACTTGTGTGTTACATGATACTGACAGACTAATATAAGTAGCATGTATGTTCAATATGAAATTTAATACTGGGTTAGGCCTCGCCCTCTACCCTGGGCCCGTACGCTGAAACCGGCGTCCTCTCTCTACATGATCATAGTGATCGTTACTGTCAATGCTACCTTGCACAGTCCCTACAACACTCGCTCTTATGTCATGCTTTAACCATTACCCTTCATGTGGACCCTCTTCCCTTTCACCACCTCCCTTTTTCTGTACAGATGTCTTACTTGCAAGATTCCCTCTGAATTCATGTTACCAATATCTCTCGTCATGTTGTTTCATCTTTGCCTCCATGGAGGGGGTCCCACTTGCAAAGTTTTTCAAGGCCTTAACCAACATGGTAAAGGCTTCTAGCCTTTTAATGGTTATGAAACACCTTTTTCTAACTTATTCACACTCACGTTCCACTGCCCTCTTTACAGATGGGTATAAATCTGGCGATGGTGTAGGCTACTCCATTGTCTTTCCTGACAAACCTGTCTTTGGTCAAAAGCATTGCAACCTAAGACTTAGACTGAATCCTCTAGGGTTCTGAGACTTCCATTGCAGCCTCAAGGAGCATTGTGTAATTACCTAAGTGTAGTTACAAGATGAGAGCTACTCTCGTGGTGTCCCATCTTCCCAGCACTCTTTGTCATATAACGTTTTGAAACTACTGACGGTCTTGGCCTCCACCACCACCTCACCTAACTTGTTCCAACCGTCTACCACTCTGTTTGCGAAAGTGAATTTTCTTATATTTCTTTGGCATGTGTGTTTAGCTAGTTTAAATCTATGACCTCGTGTTCTTAAAGTTCCAGGTCTCGGGAAATCTTCCCTATCGATTTTATCGATTCCTGTTACTATTTTGTATGTAGTGATCATATCACCTCTTTTTCTTCTGTCTTCTAGTTTTGGCATATTTAATGCCTCTAACCTCTCCTCGTAGCTCTTGCCCTTCAGTTCTGGGAGCCACTTAGTAGCGTGTCTTTGCACCTTTTCTAGTTTGTTGATGTGCTTCTTAAGATATGGGCACCTTACAACCACTGCATATTCTAGCTTTGGCCTAACAAAAGTCGTGAACAATTTCTTTAGTATATCGCCATCCATGTATTTAAAAGCAATTCTGAAGTTAGAAAGCGTGGCATAGGCTCCTCGCACAATATTCTTTATGTGGTCCTCAGGTGATAGTTTTCTATCTAGTACCACCCCTAGATCTCTTTCTTTATCAGAATTCTTTAAAGATTTCTCACATAATATATAGGTTGTGTTGGGTCTATGATCTCCTATTCCACAACTTGGCATTTATTAACATTAAAATCCATTTGCCAAGTGGTGCTCCATATACTTGTTTTGTCCAGGTCATCTTGAAGGGCATGACAATCATCTAAGTTTCTTATCCTTCCTATTATCTTAGCATAATCAGCAAACATGTATATATAATACTGTATACCAACTGGTAGATCATTTATGTAGACAATAAACATCACTGGTGCAAGGACTGAACCCTGTGGTACTCCACTTGTGACATTTCTCCAGTCCGATACATTGCCTCTGATCACTGCCCTCATTTTTCTGTGTCAGAAAATTTTTCATCCATGTTAGAAGCTTACCTGTCACCCCTCCAATATTTTCCAGTGTCCAGAACAACCTCTTATGTGGAACTCTGTCGAAAGCCTTTTTTAAGTCCAGATAGATGCAGTCAACCCAACCATCTTTTTCCTGTAATATCTCTGTTGCTCGATCATAGAAACTGAGTAAATTCGATACACAGGATCTTCCAGATCGAAAGCCATACTGTCTGTCTGATATTATATCATTTCTCTTCAGGTGTTCTACCCATTTAGTTTTAATTATTTTTTTCCAATATTTTGACTATTACACTTGTCAATGATACAGGTCTATTATTAAGGGGGTCTTCCCTGCTTCCACTTTTGTAGATTGGAACTATGTTAGCCTTTTTCCACACATCAGCTACAACTCCTATAAACAGGGATGCCTGAAAAATCAGTTGAAGTGGAATGTTGAGCTCAGGTGCACATTTTCTCAGAACCCATGGTGAAACTCCATCTGGATCAACTGCTTTGTTCTTATTTAGCTCCTTGAGCATTTTTTCCACTTCGTCTCTAGACACCTCTATGTGCTCTATGTTGTTCTCTGGAATTCTTATTGTGTCTGGTTCCCTGAAGATTTCATTTTGTACAAACACACTTTGGAACTTTTTGTTTAATGTTTCACACATTTTCTTTTCATTTTCCGTGAATCTATTTCCCATTTTCAACCTCTGAATATTTCCTTTACCTGCAATTTGTTGTTTATGAATTTATAGAATAAACCTAGTTGTGTTTTACATTTGTCTGCAATCCCCTTTTCAAAATTTCTTTCTGCCTCTCTCCTCACTGCCGCGTAGTTGTTTCTTGCATCTTTGTACCGCTGGTATGTTTGGGGGGTTTGGCCTCTTCCTGTAGTGAAACCCTGATTAAGTTTAGTTTTATAAGTGTACAAGAAAATATTCTCTTCCCCATTATTTTATTTATCCAAGCACTTGAATTGGACGGTAGAGCGACGGCCTCGCTTCATGCAGGTCGGCGTTCAATCTCCGACTGTCCAAGTGGTTGGACACCATTCCTTTTCCCCAATCCCAAATCCTTATCCTGATCCCTTACAAATGCTAGTCATAATGGCTTGGCGTTTTCTCCTGATAGTTCCCTTCCCCACTATTTACATTTCAAGATTAGAAAGAGTTTGGGTGTAAGGAAATAACTCATTTCACTATAAATGCGGTAGCACCTAATTATTAAGGGAGCGTCTGGGATGCTCTCGAACGCAGGTTCGAATCCTCGTCACGGCCCTTGTGGATTTGTTCATTTGATAGCACCTAGTGAGCCGCTCCGTCCATCTCGTTACGTCCGCCCAATGATGGACTCGCCTTTGTTGACATGGCGGCGGCGAGGTCGAGGCGGCCGGTCATGGCTGGGTGTCCTTCCTTCACAACCCGTACTGTGCTCCTGTACAGTCTACCATTTCAAGTTCAAGACTCATTTTACTACAGTGGTCACTTGAAGCACGTACCGTCAGCATCTGGCGCGCTCCAATCCATATTCTACTGTCACATTTGTCAAGAGTGATTCTGGTGCTGCCTTGACCTAATGGGTGATCTATGTTTAGCCATTCTACCTTTAACTAGCAAGACTCGCCTTAGGAATGACGAGTCTACAGTTGCATCGTGATGATATCAGACCATGTATTTAACTATGTCAGTGTTGATGAGGCTTGAAGAAGAAGAGCCAGGAGGACCAGAAGCGTCACCTCCATACCATAATGTGGATAGACATTCCACAGCCTCAACACTTCTCGCGTTCAAGGTATGTACTCGTCATGTTTATTATTTTTATTATTTGATAATGTTTATTTAGGGAAAAGTACATACATACAGAATGCGTTGCAAGCAGAATGTTGGATTTAAAGATAGAGCGAGTATATACTCTACCTAAAGTTACTAATACACACAGTTTCGGGCATGATGTGGAAAAATAAACGTAATAACTAGACTTAAAACTTGCTGAGATCAAAACTGGAAATTAACCCTATTTCAAAAGGCTGTAATAATCGATTGCAAAATGTGTAAAGTGTGGTATTTGCCTCACAGTTTTCCAATTGATAAGTGCTATGGAGACTGGACTAAACTATATTTAGATATGCATGGTATGGTAGATACCAACCAATTAAACGGACTACACTATGTAAAGGTAAGATAGACGGTGGAATAGGGTTACTAAACGTGCATCTTAAGTCATTGACTATATTATGTGTTACCTTTAGAAAGGAAATAATGCAAAGGAATAGTGTAAATGCTTTGGGACATTATTTTTGTAAAATACGTGTTAGCTACTTGATACATATGCTACAGTATTAAACAAAAATCAAACTCAAGTATTCAACTGAGGTTTAAAAAA